TTCTGTCCATCACCCAGGCTGGTAAGTCATCTCATCTTACATCATCATATCAACATCACATTTTCTTTTGCCTGATTGACTTACTTTGATTCTGATCACTATTTAGAACCCCTGGCAGCAGTTCTGCTGCCAGAGATCAGGCAACTCCTTGTGGAATTTCGTGAGACTCGAGCGGACACCCAAGCCCATCAGGTCGAAACCCGTGCAAACAATCGAGTGGTTATGACCCGACTTGCTGCAATCGACACCCAACTTGGGGCCATCGACACCCGACTTGGGGCCATCGACACTCGACTTAGGGCCATCGACACCCGACTTGCGGCCATCGACACCCGACTTGAGGGTATAGGCACTCGATTAGATCAGATGTGAAGCTGTGTTGGTCTGTTGAGTTTCTTGGTTGGTTGCTTGGGAAGGTGTGTTGGTCGGTCGGGAAGCATTATTGCTTCTTTGGTCGTATGATCGTCTGGGCGGCATACTTGTGGAGTTGTGGAGAGGTGATGTTGGAGGTGATGTTGAATCAGCAAGTGTTAATCTTGCCAAGTCCAAGGCTAGCTGAAGGGTGCCTGATCCTGGGACTAGTGGGGTATAAGTTTGATACCCGCTAGCTCCAAACGTGATCCTGGAGCTAGTTTAGTCCGATCTAATCCCACCCGGTGCGGTTGGAGGGATTAGATTAGCTGGCTAATCCTGCCTAATCCGCGCACCGATGCGGTTGCTCTAACAGTTTTCACAAGATCCACTGAGCTTTTCCGCTCTTGTTAGCTTTGCAAATGCATTTTGCTGGGTCTTGAAATCATCACCAGAGACTGAGTCTTCCTTGCCTTCATTTGTAAAACGTTTTGCGTGCTGGACTCTGGATACCCTCATATGTTGCTACCCTTACATCTCCCGAGTCCGACCCTTACATCGACTCCCCCTACCCTTAAATCTTGCTACACCTCGCTAACCTCTGAACCTCTATACATCAATGCTGTTGTCGCTGCTTTTTCCGCATGCTTTCTTTACTTGCTTGTGAGTTGATCGCTAATTGTTTTTTTTTTCTTCGTTCATCACATTGGCATGCCTTGTATTTCAAGCTCATGGTTTCCGAGTGTGGCTGAGAAGAACGGTAAAGCAAAAATATGTACACTGAGAACGGACATCCCCTCTACACTATCAGTAAAGTACCTCATCGCTTCTTCATCATCACTAACCAGCGCGGTGACGTACTGCTACACCCAAACGATGATGTGATCTTTTTCTACCCTGGCTGGATTGCGATCATTTCTCTATACATGATTACAATTGGATGACGAATAATGCCTTTTTTGAAGAAACCAATGCGTCAGAAAAAAAGTGCTGTGCGGATTTAGGTGGAAATACCACACTCCAATGAATGCCAGCTACTCGATTGCTCCATGGGGTGCTTCTACTGACCGCTGGAAAATGGAGCTTTACGGAAATGGAAGAGAAGAACAGCCTCATATGTTGAAGTATTATCGCGCTCACAAGCGGAAACTCACTCAAATCAACTTATGTACCAATAGTCATGATTTTTCGAAATTGTTCTGATTGGTTCCTTAATTACAATTAGTGTCATGCACCCTCTTCTTCTGCCCAATGAAATCACCAGGTCTTGTTACGGGAGCAGTCTGATTAGGAACACTTTCCCAACTTTTCACAATGATGCCCATCAAAGCCAATGTTTTCTCTTCTTCCCAAAGCCACATACGATTTGAATCGACTGGCAAGCTGTCACGTTCTTCGAACACTGAGCAACAGGTTCTTCACTTGTGATACCTCCCAAGGTGTCTTGGATCCATCGTTGTCGCGTCTGTGTCAGTCCGGCGTTCGATCCTTTTGAACATTGACTCGCGTGATTGGGATGTGCCCTACCGTCGAGTCTACTAAATTCCAAATGAGTGTGGATTCCGCCAGGAAAGATTTGTTCCACTGTGATGTAAGAAAACACAAGTGAAATCAACTGTTACTAATCATAATGGGCTCTTGTTTCACAAGGGGTGAATGCATGTCACAAAAAGCAGCAAACTTACGGAAGATCCAATGGGAATAGCGGGAACAGACTGTGTTGGACAAATTAACGCGTCCAGCTCTAATTCTTCCCATAACTGATTGTAGATAAACGGTGGGTAGGTTAAGGGAGTGGGATGAAAAATACAGCTCAGAAAACAGTGTGCTATCTTCATGAATGCGGTATCCATAGGGAAATCAATCTCACATAACTTCTGACTTTTAGACAATAAGCATCTTTTCGCACTCTCCACTTCTGCAGTTCCGTAGTGCTCTTGGCTCGGCTGGCTTCGATCAATTTGGCCATGATTTCATCCCGCAGAAAATATCTTGTCACTCCACAGACTATCCATCGAAGCCAACCAGGTAGCTTGCAACCAATCGTTGTCAAGAACATAGAGGCATCTCTTTTGGAGAGGTGAAATTTAGCAGATTGGAAATACATAGAGATTTCAGCTCACGTGACTCAATCAAACTTACATGGGATCACTGCCCACATGGGAAAAACCTGTTCGATATCCTTCCGCACTAGACAGCCCAACGTAAATGATGACTCCTTCAAGGACTAAATATTCACGTGACACATTAGAAAATTGAGGTACAATGTTTTCTCAAGAATTCAAAAAAAAAATGAAGGCCACCTCTTGTCTCTGAAGGTTCCATCGCAATACTAGAGCTCACTCACCATCTAAACGACTGACATCAATGCCCACGCAGTTATAGCCCCCCAATCTCAAGGCTTCAACAGTTTCTTTGACGGCTCTTTGACAAGGACTACTAGCCTCGATCAAATTGTCTGCATCAAATAAGGAAATCGATCCGTTTAGATTAGTTGGCTTAAAAAGCTGCTTTAGAGTGGATTAGAATGAAGTACTGACTGGATGTGAAGAATCCAAATTTCAAGGAAGGTCGAGTATCTTCAGCAACCAATGGGTTGAATATCTCATATCGGAAATCCTCAATTGGGATCAATCCAAACTTGCGGGACGTCATGGGGTCTGGTTTGTGGAGCATCACTTTACTCAGCAGCACAAGATCTTCCCAGCAGCGAGCCCTTGATGGAGAGCAATTTTGTAGCGTTACAATTGTGATCATAATTCAATTAGTTCAAAAGGGAGAGTAGACAAACATTGGCCCAATCACACCTAAGATTTCTGTGTACCCATCATCGCAGTCTCTAAGACCGTCTTGAACGATTCTCCCGCTACACTAAACGCACCAAGTCACAGACAAAGTGGCACTTATTGTGAGTTTGATGCAGTACAAGCGTAAAAGCGTTGTGGATTCTTCATGGCAACCTACCGGCTTTAAACTGTAGCACCCTGAGTAGTGGGCCGGAATTCGAAGACTTCCGCCTATATCGGAGCTGAGATGTGACATCAGTCACTGATATTCCAGAAAAAGTAAAGATCACAAAATTGATTTCATTGTTTACCCTATACCCATGCAGCTACCATCACTGGCAAGTAAAGCTGCTTCACCACCCGAGCTACCGCCACATGTCAAGCCATGCTTGTGAGGATTGTGAGTGTATCCGAATATTGGGTTAGAGCATTCAAAGGCAAACAGTCTACATGGTTCTACCTGTTAGCTCTATTCTGAAAAGGAAGGAGAGCAGGTGATCTTCAAAGAAAAAGGCACATACGATTGAGGAACATTTGTTTTTGTGAAAGGAATGGCGCCTTCCTCGATCAAGCGATCGACCACCGGGGCGTTTTCGGCGGCGGGTTGATTCACAAATCTGCCATTGGTTACAATATATAATGTATCAAGGTCGTCAGCTCCTGTCTGTTTGGCTGCTCTGTGTGTTTTACATGTCATAAAAACGTCTCCAAGAATTGGTTGTGCGCACTTAGTAAATCCGATTGTTGAATCAAAGCCTTGAACATTGACTTGATCCTTCAAGCTGACCGGAATCCCATGTAGTCTCCCCCTCAACCGACCAGTAGCTTCGAATTCCTTGTCCAGCTGCTCTGCTCTCTCTAGCGCTTCCTTAAATAATATTTCTGTCTAAAGAATAAAAAACCACTTCCAACAAATCAAAACCACGTCGGTTTAATTTCCAGATAAAACAAAAATCTAACGAGACAATTGGTTTCGACGTGAGCGTGGATCGCAGCTTTTATGAAGGCCTTCATAACGTTCTTGGCGTTCCAATTCAAGTCCCGCGCGCCGATCCGACTAACGATCTCATGGGCCGGCGTGCTAAGAATGGTCAGTTCGAACGCATTGAGGTTGCTCGATAACTCGTTTGGGTCATTTAGAATCTCCATCAGTCGATCGGCCCGCTCCTTCTGTTTTAATGCTGCTACTTTCTTCCATTGCGATCGTGGGTCAATTGGCACCGGCAAGAACTTGAGTAGGTGAAGCAGCAAGCCGATCATAGTGTGTTGGATCGTATCTATTTATGAACTTATCTGAAGTATGCGGTCAGTCTCAGCATCGACTCAAGGTAAATACAAAGAAGAAAAACAGTTACTGATTGAGTGTAAAAAGCAGGGTGACCACTGCGCTTGGTTTGACTTTCCCCTCTGCATGACCATCTATTGATATGACCATTGACTATGGAATATTGCAGATGGGAGAGTTCCACACACTGCAGTGCATGGGACTTGAGAAGTGGACACTCAAAAGTTCTGCACAATTGACGCGGTTGACAGTGTTGCACCCACAAGGTCACCGATATGTTGTGTAAATCGCTCACTATTAGGAAGAGCTGTATCTTTTCATTTGTAGAAACCTGCAAGAGAATAGTACCAGTAAGCGGGAGATCTTGGTTTTTCTGACCAGAAAATGACCGAGGTTGAAGACCCTGGGCCTTGGCACCGTCAAGGTAAATTCAGCCAATTCTCTCTCACATTCTCAATCTCAATCTAGGGTTGATCTTCGCATGATCCTTGATAAGATTTCGACTACAAATTCTAGTTGGGGCCGAGTTTTTGGGGTTTGATTCGAATAACTTGGATCAAAAAACAAAACAAAGGATTGAATCCTGCGTTTCTTTTATTTAAAAAGAAGGACTACAGTGTATGTATCAAAAAGCCCATGTTGGGTAGGGTGTCTCTGCAAAGGATTGAGGTGACGACAAGATGCACGGTATGACTGTGGATAACGATGATAGGGATATTGAATAACACAAGCTGAACAAGGTCCCATTTCTCCGCGTTTTATCAAGAGATTAGGTTTTTGGATCAGGCATTTATGCATCGATCCCATCGGATGTGAACCATAGCCCACAAACCAATGAAGTAGTGCTGCAGTTTAGGAGGTGTGAGTTCGAGTTAGCTTCCCATGATAAGGAGACTCACGATAATGGGGAACATACATCACCAATGGTTGGATCATTGATTTCCAATGTCGTAACTCTTCCAATTTTCCACAGGGTGTCTTTTTCCCACTTGGATTTATCTAGCGGATCCCTTTCTGCAGACAGATCACAACAATCATTGGAGAAAGGGAGTTGATGAGACACTGTGGTTCCCTTTATCTGGTATACCTCCAGGAAAGGTCAGTCGGCTTACCATCGAGTCTAGCTGCTTGAATGTTGCGTGTTTTGCCCCATGTCTTGTCAATAATTTTACCTTTGTTTTTCTGGTGGGCGCGATAATACTTCAACGTATGAGGCTGTTCTTCTCTTCCATTTCCGTAAAGCTCGATTTTCCAGCGGTCTGTAGAAGGACCCCTTGGATCAATCGAGTAGCTGACATTCATTGGAGTGTGGTATTTCCACCCAAATCCACACGACGCTTTTTTCTGTCGCATTGGTTTTTTTTCAAAAAAGGCATTATTCGTCATCAAATTGTAATCATATATAGAGAAATAATCGCAATCCATCCAGGATAGAAAAAATCACATTATCATTTGCTCGTAGCAGTACGTCACCGCGCTGGTTAGTGATGATGAAGCCACGATGAGGCGCTTTGCTGATAGTGTAGAGGGGATGTCCGTTCTCAGTGTCGACCACGGTGACATTCCCCTTGTTTAGTCGAAGTCTATAGTCCCAGGCAAGTATCCTTGCGGGTGGCGGAGAACCGTAGCCATCTGATCGATATCCGCCGTGGCCATACGGAATGTAGTAGTAGGGGTAATAATATGGGGTGCGGTATGGTGTCGAGCCAGACGATGACGACGAGGTACTGGGTGACGTCGACTTACTAGATGACCTCGATCCACCTCCACCTCGGCCGCCAGAGGCTCTCATAGTAGTAACTTCGGAAGGGTCGGTGGGATCCCCACCAACGACTGTTCTGGATAGATCATCGTCATCTTCGGGGGTGTCCTCACTTGCGGTCTGGTGAACATGAGTCAGACAAAGAACAGCGATAAGCAAATATCTTAAGAGAGTCATCTTGCAGGTGTGCAGGTCAAAGGAATGTGGGGTAAAAAGGAAGCTGGAGCGCCTTGAATGGATTAAGAATTCGAACGATCACGCTGGCCTCGAAAAGAACGATTAGGCCTCACTATGGAAGTATATGTATGCTGAGGATGATCTTAGAGCCCTTTGCCGGTTTGAGAGTTGCACGGATAGGGGCAGTGGCTACAGACAGGCCTCTTCCAGGTTTATACAAGGAAACTTGTTGTCTGACCCAATTTTTGCTGATTTCCCTCGAACAGTGATACAATGCATCAAACAATACCAGCTGCCGCCAGCTGTCGGTGCTTCAAGGAGCAATTGTAACATATCTATGTACCCGTCCCCTTGCAGCCGCTTGTTGCCCTTTGTTACCCTTCCGAAGAGTTCAGAGTGTCCTGTGTTCCCCCGACTTTGTGTGATGGCTGTATATAGCAGAAGCGCGCGGAGGTCAGACCAGTTCAGACCGCGATGGTTTCCAGGAAGCTGGCCCATAGTCCCTCAATTCAGCCTCGCTCTGTTGATCTCACACCTCTGAGCTGAGGATCTCTGAGGTGGTGCCTCTGTTGCAACAGATTGCAACCCTGAAGAAGGAGGATCAGGTATCAACTTGAATGTTCTCGAACTGGCATTGTACCTTGAAGTCCCGATTTCGGATGGCCTGTATGGAGAGATCCTGATCAAATTCCACAGCTCAAACGTGGAAATGTGTTCTAATCCTCATGACCGCATCAATATCGGTTGTACGTATCGGCAACTGGGCGGTACTACAAGGATAACCAGTTGGGAAAGAACACACCACATGTATGAAGGAAGGAGTGTCAAGCCATGGACATGTATCCATTGAGCTGTCCTAAGGAGAGTTTGTCGTATTGGTGCATCTTTACGCACTACCTTATTGACAGGTGATATTTCTATCAGCGGGGTTCAGGATAAGCTAAAGCTTCAAGGGTTGCGGAGCACAAATTCACGCTTAGGCTTGGCAAATTTTTCCCTGGATCTGTTAAAAATTGGCTTGATTTCAGCCAAAATTCAAGCCTCTCATAGAATGCTCACAAATAATGAGGATCTTAAATATCTTCCTTGCAAAATCTTATTCTGAACCCCACTCACATCTTTCTCACAAAATCTGTTTGTGAACCCCACTATAAATCAATGCAAGTATGTTTAAGCTCTCCTTGATAGGAGATCAATAACAGTTTTTCCTGAAATTGCCCCATGTGAACAGGGCTAATGGAGAACTTGTCATTGCTTGACTTAGAAGTAGTTGAAGGGTCTATAGGCTATACCTGATTTGCAGGTGAAAACTTATTATTGATTGATTTTCATCAGCAAATGCAAATGATCTTCAGGACTCCCTCCTAAATTAACAAACTTGGATCAAGGGAAGTCCTCCATTCTTGGGCCATCTAAAATCCATAATTTGTGTTAAATTTTAAACTTGTTGTGGTCATGAAACCCTGCAGATGATCAAGGCACCAAGTTTGATAAAATTCCAAATAAATCTGTTTGACACCATTTTGCCTGGTACAACCTATTGTATGCACACCTTACCAGATTATTTGAGCAGAGAAGATGTTGACTTGATGAAAAATATGTGGGAATATTTCAGTAATTGTGGCCCCAGGACCAATGGTGGGCCAATACAGTTTAACTGTATTGGTAAAGCATTGTAAAGTAACATTTTTTTGCTACTATTGAGATTGTTCATTTTTTTGATAAAACTAATGTTGAGGGCTCAAACAAAGCCCTCAATAACAGCAAATACAGCCCTTTAATAGCCATATATGATGATGGGCCTGTAAGTCTAACTTTTAATTGTAAATTTGAACAATTGATACAATGATTATTGAAAAATTATCATGGCCATAATTCCTAAGCCAACAGGATTACTTTTGTCTAGGGTTATATTTGGATTTGTGTAATTCAAGAATTGATGGTACTCAAAATGACTCAAGTAGGTTTTCCTTCTTGACATGAAGTGATTTTGGCTTGGACCTGTCAGTGGAAACTGAAACTCCAATTGACAAGTCCCAGCAAAAATTGAAGATTCAATAAGTAAAAAGTTACTCAAGTAATTTTGAACCCCATATTGCTTGATGAGGATCTGGTCAGAAATATGATCAGAGAAGTATAATTTCCAAAAAGAAACATAGAGTATGCTTTGCCGCCTCAAATTATTTCAGAGAATGGCTGAAGAAAATTGGGATGTCTTTCATATGTGCTCGAGTGTCCAGAAAAAAAGGCAGATTGAGAATTCCAAATGGTTTTCTACACATATTAGGTGACAAATAATTCTTGTGCAATGTATTGCTCTCATTTATAAGTGTAATACAATTGATCTTACCTGATTGGTACTCGTAGCCCCCAACATACCAACATCCCATTTTCACACTTTACATGTGTTTTAGATGTCATATACGGGGGACCAAAAAAAGGTTTTTATTGGAAATTTTGGATCATATGTATAACCAACTTCTTGATACAACAACAACTGCATCATGACTGTTTTTGGGTTTCTGTTGCAGTCAATTATGGAGATAATGAATGGAGCCTAATTTTATTTCAGTTTCCTATAACATACTTTTTCTGAATCTTACAGCAGATCAGAAACTCAAGCAGCTCTTATTTACGAGTGCAGCTAAAGCCTTTTTGAAAGTGTACATAGTTTGTGTATTGTATGGAAGAAAACAGGACAGATCACAACAAAATTGGAAAGGAGTTTTTTAGACTGTATCACCAATGCAAAAATAAACCACTAAAAGACAACATCATTGCATAAGTACAAATCACCAAGGAATTCTTTTGAACCAGGTTCATGAGGAAGGAAAAAGGAGCGGTATCAAACTAAAGAGGTAGCCCCATTTGATCAGGCTGCACATTGGGTAATTCGGTATTTGACCATAACCCATAGTCCGAGGAAATAATGCTAAAATATGGAATTATGTAGACATTTTGGTTTAGTTTTCTTCAAACTTCTGTGGAAGCCTCATCAAGTTTTTTTATGACTCACGTCACTGAGAGTCGTCTCTTCAATCTTCAGCGTTGAAACTGATTGCACTTGACCTAGAAAGTCCACTTGCCAATCGGATTTGTCTATCATTTGATTGGCTACAAACCAACTCAGAATAATAAAGCCAAGCATGAAAGTTTAGATACTGAGATTGCAATTAATGATACGGTGTTTGCAATACAAATCCACTCACATTCGAAGTCGGCTGCCTGAGTGCCATTCGACATGAAACTGATCTGGCCTTTGTTCCCCTGAGAATGCCAATTGTATCTCAGTTTTTGAGACTTGATGTCCCGGCCGTTTCCCTTGATTTCCATCATCCAGCGTTCGTTGTCCGAACTCCAAGGATAGACCGTGTAGCTAACGCTCGAGGGAATGTTGTACGTGGAAATTTGTCCACACCTCCCTTTTATCTGTTTTATAATCATGGATTTATTATGATCAACCATTGAATTTATTGGAAAGAAGGAAAGCGAAGGGCCGTCAGCTATCTTTAATTTCGATTTGCTTTATGTTTTTCAAAGACAAAAAGGGAAACAGCGATTTGGTGCCAAATGTCATACCTCGTCTCGGGCGGCCAGAATTATATGCCCCTGTCGATTGGCAATAGCGAAACTGCGATGTTTGTGAGGAACTGGCATTATGGTGTAGACTGGAGAGCCGGTTCGACTGTCAACCACCGTCACATTGCCCTGGTGAAGTGGAAGGCTACCATCCCAGGCAAGCAGCCTTGGGAACGGAGCATCCTTGGCTGGCACTTGTGAGCCGTGGCCTTTTTCAAGCGATAAAGATGGATCTGGATCACCATCGCCGCCTTTCGGAATGGGTGGAAGAGTTCCCTTTTCCAAACTCCACTTTTTAAAGACGACGCTTGGATCTACCGCTCGGTCAGATGGACTGGGTGCGATCGGCATTTGTGCACCGCTCGGATCTGTATTGTGATAGCCGCTCCCTGCATCCCGATGGTTGTTTTCCGTTACCAATTTCTGATAGCGAAAGATCATTAGGGCCGAAAGCAGAACCGACAAAACCATGGTTGAAGGTTTGAAATGAATAAAATGAGGGAGGTCTGGACGGCGGAGAACCTGGATGTGTCGAAAAGAGAGTGTGAGTTCGGAGGAAGCCTTGGTCGTTCAAATGAGTGATGAGACCAAATTTGGGTATGTTGATGTGGGCCTTTGCCTGGTTTGCGAACACGTTTAAATCTCAACTTGACGGGCTGCATCCAGTTGCTACGGAGTCAAGCTGAGGCAGGGTCCAGAATCTTTATACATTTAAGGCTTGCCATCGAATTTTTCATCTGCGAACATCGAAGCAGGAAAAGCCACTCGAAGGAGCTGGCATGTCTTCGACTCGAGTTACCATTCCGAAGAAGCTGGCAGAACGCGGTCATCACTTTTCGTGTTCTCGAGTGGATACAGTCCCGAGACAGAGTGCGGTTACAAAAGTGTCTCAAGTTCCCTTCAGCCATACCCCGCGTTGTTTCCCCGGTCAACCAAAGCTACGCCTCTTCCGTTAACGAAGAAGATGGTCCTACATACATTGGATTTCCAAACTTGATCCGAGTTTTAGAGGAGGTACCGGGACCCGACGGATAGCCGAATTCACACTTGACCTGCAAGCCCTTTGGCTCAGGGACCCCCAATCCAAATCTGCAGCTGATAATGTCTGTCAAATCCTGCACATAAACACTAGACTGAAAAACTTGCTCTAAAACAATCTACAAATAAGAAAAACCTGGAGTTTGACTTGAAGCCCCACAATGCTCCTCTACATCCCCAAACTACGTGTTCATTGGCCCATTCTTTAGAAGACAGGATAGACTGGCAAGTTGCAACTCACACATTTGTAGCTTGGTTCTTAGCATTAGGCATAGGATCGGCGCTAGAAAATCATCTGCACACATGAACAAGGTTTGGTTGCTCCCTAAATTAAGTGGGCTGTCTTGAGATTCAGCAACCACCACATTCATCTTTCAAGTACAATTCTTTCATTTTAACAAATTGTGATGCAGGTTTTAAAGCTCCCTCAATTGTGATAAGAAAAATTCAATAACATCTAATAGGGTTTCTAATTAGACTTCTGGATCAGTAAGAAAGTGATGGCATGAGAATCAGACATTGAAAACAGCTAAATAAGATTTACTTTATCTTTTCCTAATTGTCTTGGTCATACATGAATGAGTCATTTATGATGGATTCCCTTTGTATCAAACCCTAGCTGAGAATCACGAAAACCTAAGTTCTGGCCAAACAATTCTTAATAAGAACATTCAAGCTCACTGTGGATCTCTCTCTTCTGCCTTCACAACAACAACAACAAAAAAAGGGAATGGTCAACTGGTATATTGTAGACTAAAATCATTTTTTTTTGGTCAATATCTTGTATTAAAATGTGATTTTTTTTGAGGGGGGGGGGGAGGGGGTGCTTGAATTGGAATATATATTTCAAAACTACTTCTCATATGTGGAGTAATGGGATTGCACAAAGCTAAGGCCTCAGAATCTATAGCTTTTTTTCTTCTTTTTTCAAATTGACAATTTGTTTCGACATGATCAAGAAAGACAATCGAAGACATATTCTGAGGAGAGCCAAAGCCTGTAAATGTAAATTAGCCACCAGATTTTATTCTTCTTTTGAACTTGAAGTTTTCATAAGCCAGAAGTGACGACCACCAGCGATCAGCGATATCTCGCGTATCCTTCTTGGTACCCGGGGGGGAATTGCGCGTCGACATGTTTGCCATAAACCTGATATCTGGGCGGGTAAAAGAACCCATTTTGGCGGTCCAAGTTCCTAGATTTATTTTGCGATTGGACCCAATTGATAGCCGCCTGTTCCTGCTCGGGGGTCAGGGAGTCGATGACGAATCGGAAGTTGACGTCCTGGCCGTCCATCGACTCGTCCTCCTTTTCTGGATCCAGATCGACTGAGCCTGGCCGTTCTTTTTCGGAGCGCGAACGGCCACCGGATTTCGGAATGAGTTCTCTGGGCCGGCCTTTATAAGAGCTCCCTGGACTGATTTTCGTACTCTCGACTTCAGGCAACCGGCTTTTGCTGGCCGTTGCCTCCACACTGCGAGCTCCAGTGGCCCCATCCACTGCTGGATATCCACAGAAACACTTCAAGAACCGCTTGGAAAGTTTTCGAGAGCCGGGTTCCGCGCCGACCGGGTGGGGAACTGGCTCGATAGGATGCATGGCTTTTCTTCCCGTTTCGCTGGCTTCAGATACCAACTGGGGATCACCCACGTTTTGTTTGATCAGGAGCCTTGCGTGGGTTTGAAGTGATGCCGAGCTGCTGTAAGGCACCATCATACAAAATAGATACAGGCAACTATGGAGAAGCACTGGATACATTTTATTGTGAAAGTCTTTCAACTGAGAATGACAAAGAATTGTCTGAGGTTATTTGATTGCGCTGTATATTGACTTTACGTGCTATATCTAGTCACTGGCGGATTGATTGGGTGCTGATGATTGAGACTCCCAAGAAGGACACCTGGTTAAATAGCCGAGAAGCCACTCCACAACAAACATGTCATATGAGTCGGGGTAACACTCAGCACGGCCAATGCCCAACGGTTGTGACTGATCCCTATCATCTTGCAAGCTGAGACGTGGTTGACAGCTCGTTGTACACGTCCGGATGCCAAACGGGCTTCATGCTGTGACGAGAATGTGCCCAACAACTGGTTTTGAACAGATTGCTGTGCGACTCATCTGGGTTGCCGTGGACTGCAAGTTGCAGCTAGGATGCCAAATGTCCATTTTTTTTTTCGTCTTATACATTATACGATGTTTGCTGCCAGTCGTTTCGGCTGCGGGAGTGCAGCACATCTACCAATCCTGTATCCAATTCGTACGCCCATGGCAAGCCCAATCAGTTCCGTTTTATTTCGTATTCCTCGGTCAAGTCATATCTATCCATCGCCCAAGAGTTTCTATTTCTTTTTTGTTTTAGCTGTGAGACCAAGCGCGTTTTCGTGTTTGAACAAGAGCTATCGAGTCGGATTGGTGTCTCAGAAAAAATGAATGATCTGTTTCAGCCTCGAGCATGCAGTCTGCTGTGACAAAGCGACCCACCAGTCAGATGAGCCGGGACGAGGTGGTCGATGTAGTCCCGTCAAGGCCATGCAAGAAATGTGCAAGGACCCGCGGGGAGGAAGGAATCCAATTATCGGAGAGAGTGAGCGACGACGCAGTCGATTTGCGGCAGCGGGGGCATGATAGCCCCTGAGGTTTGAAGCTGATACAAGTATCGGTCTAAATCTTGAGGCCGACCAGGACAACAGCTGTGGGGCAGAGATTGGGGATCCAAGTGACCATCGGCCAAGGCCGACGGAGACCCAATAGATTGTAGTCAGCGCGACAGCCGGGCATCACACAGCGCTTTGCCGATCGTTCGCCGTTCGTATAAACCCTTTTCCTCGGACTTCACTCCTCAGCTCAAGTCTGGACTCTCGAGCTCGCCCGCTGGAGACGCCGACCGACTGAATTTCGCAGCACTTAACATACCACCGCTGCTCACGTGCGGCCTCGAGGTTGAACTGTTTTGCCCAAGTCCCCCGATCCCGTGCTGTGAGCGGCATCGCCATGGCCCATGAGAGTGGCGAGGCGCTGCCGCATTGCGTCGGCCGCAGTAGGACACAGATCTTGCCGGAGCCTGTGGGGCTGGCCTCCGGGCCTTCACCGGAGATGACCGGAGAGGCTGTTCTAGGCTGGATGCGGCCCCGGCCAGTTGCTTACTGGGCGATACCCTTTCAACAGGCACACTCAATGATAAGACGGGTGCTCACTGCTCAAGCAGTTATTCAAAACCCACTTCCCCCAAATATGGTTTTATTTACGCCGCCACTGGGTTGCGGCGAATTTATCTATAGGCTGGAAATCTATATAACTCAGACCAAACAGTACCAGCCGGTCACTAACTTATGTGGGTCACAGACAAAGCCCTTGTCGCATTTCACAGCACGTGTCTCATTCTCACTTTCGAAGTCAGGTGTTGTGTTGATCTTATTCATACGACTGGAATCAAGTAGTCCTACTCACAAGGCGTTTCAAGCACGTCCGCCGACTGACCGACAAACCTCAACAACTCATAAGAACACGCGAGGCGACAAGACCGAGCTCGATATAAAAAGCAGGGAGAGAGAAGTAGGGAATAGGTGGTCCGGGAATAGAGGGAGGAGACAGCGACCAGGTATCAAATTCAAATGGTGAATGAAAGAGTATGCAGTCGAACGAAGAGACTCTAATTGTTCCCGCGACGACCTCCGCGCTTTTTGCGGTCGATATGAGCGCGTAATACTTTCTGTCGGTCTCTCAGCGAGGCGCCTTTCTTACTCCTCACCTACAAATGCAAAGCAAAAAAAGGAAGGATCGAAAATATCTCAGTGGAGGGAAAAAACAAGTTGAAAATCGAGTGGGATTGCCGGCTTACCTTATTAGAGTTCTGAGTCATAGCGAAAGCTTTTTGACGAGACTTAGCCTCGTTAGTGCTACTACCCGTCGCCCCGTTCTTCAAACCTTTACGACCTCTAACCTTACTACTGCCGAACTTTTCGCGTCCCTGACGCCCAGCCTGAATAGACGCCATCCGTTCCTCATAATCCTGCTTAGCCTTCTTCTGTTTGCCGATGATATCGCCCTCAGTCACATGTGCTTGTTGCCCTCCTGCACCCGCAAGATCGCCATCGAAGGTCGTCAGACCCTGTGGATCGTGGTAGGCCCGCTTACGGAGCTCTTTCAATAGCTTCTGGTGCACCGAGTTGGCGTTCTTCGACCCTGCCGCTTTCGCCGCCTCTTCGATCGCGCTTATCTTCAGCTCATTCAGTCTTGCGAAATCTGCAGGGGTGAGAATCTGTCCATCCAAGAGTTCACGTTAGTGTCTTTCCGCCTGCTCAGGAAATCTCGGTACCAAATACGTAGATCAACTTACTTTTGTAGCCGCCAAACTCTCCGAAAGAGGTTTGGGAGCGTTGGTTGCAGCTTGGCTACAAGTATCGTCATCTTCGTCCGATTCGACGTCATCAGCTTCATCATCGGACCCAGTAGATTTTGAATTACGTTTGCTGTTTGCTTTGGCCGTCTTGCGCCTTTTCTTGCTTCTGGGGCTCTCAGTCTCATCATCCGTGTCCTCGTCGCTAGAATCAGAGACATCGAGATCACTGGCTCCGTCACTACTGACATCGATCCAGCCGCCGGAGCGATCGGAATCTGAATCGTCACCATCGCTCGACGCGACTTCCCAGCCCTCCAACTCGTCGCCTTCCTCCTCGTCGCCATCCTGTCGGTCACGATTTTCGGAGGAGATAACACTCTCGAGCAAGTCCAACCCGGCGATCGAAGAGACTTGACCGCGGATCTCCCCGTACCTGACCACCTTGTGACTAAGGCCAGGAACGAGTTCGGAGGGAGGAGCGTCGGAGCGAGCCTTCTGTTTCTCCATCGCGGCCTTCTTGCCCAAGTCCCGGCTCTTCAAGATCGTCGGGTTGACCTCTCTGAATAGACCGAGCAATCCACGCGAGGCAGCAATCACGCCCTTATCCTTGCTCTTCCGATACTCTATCAGATCGGCCAGTAAGTCGGGCTCCATAGCCAACGGCTGACGCCGACAGATTTGGGCAATACTATTAAGGCCTGCCGCAATGACGGTCGAAGCAACCCCAGGATGGACGAACTCATTGGCGAGCTTTCGTAAGCATGGTGTCAATACATCCGGCGGTGTGAGCTCGTGAACCGATTCTGCAAGTGAGGCGAGGATCGAGGTGACCTCAAGTTGGTGGTGGACGATATACTTGAGCACATAGGAGTAGAACGGTAGCACCTGAAGCTTGTGTGCTGAGCAGATCCGAGAGAAAAGTCGGAGGATGAGAACCTTATGTTCGAGTGTGTAAACTTTGTCGTTCCGCATCAAAGCTTCATATAATTGTTCTGCGAGATGCTGCGGATCTTGAAGGAGATGTAGTGCAGAGAAGTTAGAGTCGACACGGGAGGCGCCAGCTTCTTTGGCTCGTTGTAGTTTAGCAGCAGCTTTGATCTTCTTTTCGGTTTTCTTCTCGGTTGATTTCCTTTTCTTATTGATGGTCTGGACATGTTTGACTTGTCGGACGTTGATCTCTTGCGGCTGATCGTTATCGCTATCCTGATCATCAGCACAAGCGGCAGATGATTCGGGATCGGCGAGGAAGAAGTGGATGGCGGCTGATTGAACCTTGGTATTAAAATGGAAGCAAGCGTCTGCTAAGATCCGGATCGTTTTGGAGTCGTTCCATATCCCTTTGCGCCACAACTCGGATGCAAGTTTGACGGCCCACATAGCCTCTCGGCCGCTGGTTTTAGCCTCGGGGTTCTGGCTTTTGCTCTTAGTCTTTTTGAGACCTGTTCCTTCGAGCGCTGATCCACCAATACCACTCGGTAAGTTGATCCCGTTCTCGACCATGCTGAATAGGAGGCCTTGAATCGATCGATTGAGTTTTTGGTTTTTAGCCTTCTTATTTGCCATCTTGATATCAGTGAGGATTGTCTTCAAGATAGAAGCCCTCAAGGTTGGGGATGTGGTCAAAGGCAGTAAACCAAAAAGTACGTGCAACAATCTACAGTGAGAACCCCGCAAGAAGAAGAAAGAAACACCCAAACGCCCATTAGACAAATGACCATGTGAAGCGATCTTGGTGCTGAGGGGAAAGCTTACTCGAGGTTGGTCAGCATGCAGTTTGAGGGGTCCTTTCGACGTATACCGACTAGGGCTTGCACCAAAGCTTTCCTAGTATCCGGATGTAATCTGTCGTGTCTTTCAAGTAATAGACTGGACAGTTCTGAGGGTAAAGATTTGACGGATCTGATAGGGTTTTGTTTAGTAGCAAAGCAAGGAGCGGTCTGTGATGGTGGTCGGAGAATACAGTGATGATGAGGGTGAGTCAGTCCTGTTTTTCTAAAATGAGGAAATGAGAGAGGCGTTACCTGAGCCAGGAATCCGATGACCTCCCTAAATTTATCTTCGGTCTCCCTTCGACCTTTGTTATTACCACTGGCGCCGGTCTGGGTAGTGCTCCCAGCGCCGATCAAGTCCCCGCCACCAGCGACGCTCAGTCCGAGTAGGATGACGGATCTGAGTGATTGGTAGTGGTCCCATTGGGTTGCAAACTCGGCAGCATAGCCATCTGGGTCTCGCTTGATCAAATTCTGTAGGGCTGGTAAATTTCTGAGCACACAGGAAGACAGTTAGGATCAGTAAGGCCGTTCAGTTCGATCGGATGATTTAGATATATCCAAATGACTGACGATATCAGTAGCAGACCGCGGTCTGGTCTACGGGATGAGGCATCCATATTGCTTGGCGGTTTCCTTCGTTTTTTTTTTTTTTTCTTTCTTTGGTGCTGGTGGGTGGGGGATGGAGGTTGAGGGTGAGAAGGGTGCGCAGTCCAGCTGCGGGCGGGAGGGGGATGCGTGACAGGCAGCCTGTCACATGGCTGGGAACTCTCCACCCGATGACGCAGCCGAGCCTCAGATTTGGCGGAACGAAGGAGAACGACAACCACCATCAAACCAAGCAGAAAACACAACACAGAATCGATTGGATGGTCACAGAAGAAGAAGCAAACAACAGCTGAGCATACACAAACAAACAAACAGGAAACACAATCGAATACCGATCGAGCCGAACGAACTAACAAAAATAAAAACAAAAACCCTCGCAACCTTCCAAGATGCAGATGCTCACTAAGGTGGGTGGTGGTGGACTATCAAGCTGAGGACTCTTTTTTAAACTGATCACACATCACTACAATCACCATCAGTTCGAGTCGAAATCCAATCGGGTCAAGGGGATTGCCTTCCATCCCAAGTTGACCCTCCTGGCTGCTTCCCTTCACTCGGGTAGTATTCAGATGTGGAACTTTCAGATGGGAACTCTGGTCGAAAGATTTGATGAACACGATGGTAAGAGTCTTCTTCTTCTTCGCCTGGTCGACATCAGTACCATCATCCTCACTTAAAACCCTTCTTGTTTCAAGGGCCTGTCCGTGGGATCGCTTTCCATCCCAGTCAACCACTCTTCGTGTCTGGTGGTGATGATTACAAGATCAAGGTCAGTACTTCACAGCACAATCAGAATCACATCGATCAGTCGCGATCGATCGCTCGGTTTGTTGATCTTGATTTTATCTTTATTTTGGATACTCTAGGTTTGGAATTACAAACAGAGACGATGTCTATTTACTCTTCACGGCCATCTAGACTACGTCCGATCAGTATCTTTCCATCGTGAACATCCCTGGATTCTCTCTGCTTCGGATGACCAGACGATCAGGATCTGGAACTGGCAATCCCGACAATGCATTGCGATCCTTACCGGTCACAAGTAATTAATTTCCCTTTTTGTTCATATACCTTGAGGTTTCTTCTTGCGCAGGTTGACTGATACCACGTCTTTTTTTTTATTAGTCATTACATCATGTATGCCGAATTTCATCCAAAGGATGACTATATCGTATCCTGCTCCATGGACCAAACGTAAGAGGACAATCTGACAATCGTTTGTCAGTTCTTCTCACGCTGACTTGCCTCTCCTTTCCAGTGTTCGAGTTTGGGATATCACCGGACTTCGAAAGAAAACTACAACAGCCCAGCCAATGTCTTTTGAGGACCAAGTTCAACGAGCCAATTCCGGACAAGCAGATCTGTTCGGTAACACCGATGCCGTCGTCAAATATGTGCTTGAGGGACATGATCGGGGTGTCAACTGGGCAACCTTTCACCCTACCCTGCCCCTCATCGTTTCTTGTGGTGATGACCGACAAGTTAAACTATGGAGAATGAGTGAGACGAAAGCATGGGAGGTAGATACTTGCCGTGGTCATTTTAACAACATGTTGGTGGTTCCTCTATTGCCTTCATAGCATATGAATGACTCGATAGCTGACTGGGATCGCCTACCTCAGCTCTGCAGTCTTGTTTCATCCGAAGCATGAACTGATCATCTCAGATTCCGAGGACAAGACCATTCGTGTGTGGGATATGAGCAAAAGAACGGCCGTTCAAACCTTCAGGCGAGAGAATGACCGATTCTGGGTATTGACGGCCCATCCTGAGCTAAACCTTTTTGCTGCCGGCCACGATACCGGCTTAATCGTCTTCAAGCTCGACCGTGAACGACCGGCGTTTAGTTTACATGGTAACACATTATTCTACATTCGTGATAAGTATGTGCGAGTCCACGATCTGTCCACAGGCTCAGATGTCAGCGTGATTAGCGTCAAGAAACTAGGAAGCCAATATGTCCAGCCTCGTACACTAAGTTACAATCCAGCTGAAAGGGCGGTCTTGGTCACTTCGGTAGGTTTCCCTCATCGACCCCTCAGTTTGTCTTCTGGAACTAACAATCCATTCATGACTTATCGGTAGCCTGCCGAAAATGGAATGTATGAGTTAGTCAACTTACCCAAAGACATGAATGCTGGGGAAGTGCGTGATTCATCCTCTGAAGGCAAACGTGGGAATGGACAAGCTGCGCTGTTTGTGGCTCGCAATCGATTTGCCGTTCTGGACAAGACCTCCCAAACGATCGAAATCAGAGATCTTTCGAACTCGATTACCAAATCGATTAAATGTCCCAGTCCGACCAATGATATTTTCTACGGTGGCACTGCAAGTCTCCTTCTGAGCACCAACACTTCTGTCATCCTTTTTGACATCCAGCAGCAGAAAGTCGTCTCAGAAATTACTACCCCGCCCGTTAAATATGTTGTATGGAGTAATGACGGCTCCATGGTCGCTCTGTTGAGTAAACACAGTAAGTTTTTTTTTTTTTCGACCTCTAACCACCACCATCCTGGTAATCTTGCTGATTCTCATGTGAACCATAGCCATCATCATCGCCAATAAGGCCTTGGGACAACACAGCTTGATTCACGAAACCATCCGAATCAAGTCTGGTGCCTGGGACGATTGTGGCATCTTGGTATATTCGACACTGAACCACATCAAATACGCGCTACCTCAAGGGTACTTCACTCTTCCTTTCATGGTCATGGTTTCTCGATTCTTCAGTAAAGTGTACAGCTAACTTACGAACTTTGGTTAACTCTTACTCAGGGACAACGGCATCATTAAGACACTCGACCAACCAGTTTATTTGACTCGAGTTAAGGGTAAAATGGTACACTGTTTGGACCGAAACGCTAAGCCTAAAGGGATCCCGATCGATCCTACTGAGTACAGATTCAAGCTAGCCTTGACGCGTAACAATTATGATGAAGTCTTACACATCATCCGAACCTCGAACTTGGTTGGGCAAAGTATAATTGCTTACTTGCAAAAGAAGGGATTCCCTGAGGTATGTTTAATAGAGTTCTTTTACACGTCTCGTTTATCGAGTTTTAATTTCTTTGTTTTAGATTGCTCTCCACTTTGTGCAAGACAAAACGACCAGATTTGACTTGGCTATTGAATGTGGAAATCTCGAAGTTGCGCTGGAAACAGCCAAAGCCATCGATCGACCTGCTTCTTGGAATCGATTGGGCCAACAAGCCTTAAAGCAAGGCAACCAAAAAGTAAGCCTGACCATCTGAATTGGAAACAAGATCACTCATTAACCTTGTCCATCTAAAATTTTCAATCCACCCCTCAGATCGTTGAAATCTGTTACCAACGAACCAAAAATTTCGATCGACTTTCGTTCCTTTACCTCATGACCGGAAATACTGAAAAATTGAATAAAATGGCTAAAATTGCAGAGATGAGAGCCGATCATATGTCAAGGTTTCATAACGCATTGTACCTTGGTAACGTCAAGACACGAATTGCAGTGTTAAAGGATGTCGGTCTGTGTGAGTGCTCACTCTGGCGACCAGTCGCTTTCGATTTTTTTTTTCAATAAAAAAAAGATGCCTTTTTGACCTGGAGTTAACGCGTTTTGCTATCGAATAGACCCCTTGGCCTACTTGACTGCCAAATCAAACGGATTAGACGACGAAGCCAACGAAGTCTTGGAGGTGGCTGGATTGACTGAAGAGGAGCTGCCCCCAATGCCACCACTGAAGAGCAGCCGTCTCGCACCTCCTGGGGTCGTGACCGCGAGCCATGAGCTCAACTGGCCATGTGTAGGCACGAGTGAAAGCTTCTTCGATCGTGCTCTTACTCAAGCTTCCGGAATGGATGGCAACGCCAACCCGATCGATTCGGCTGGAGGCACCGGTCGTGGCGATCCGTTAGATGAATGGGCAGCTGATGATGGGGATGGGATGGATGTTGAAGGGGATGCAGGAGAGGAGGCAGAAGAAGCTTGGGACATCGCTGGCTCTGAGATCCCGGGAGGCGCGCTTGATGCTGAGGCGGGAGAATCGGAGGCCATGGGTGTCGAAGATGAAGGGGCTGATGGAGAAGTTAAGGAAGGTGTTCAGGAAAGTGAACTGTGGGTCAAGAACTCGCCTTTGGCTGCAGATCATGTGGCCGCCGGATCGTTTGAAACTGCTATGCAGGTAAGCTTGTTTACAATTTCACACACCTAAACTGACCAATACCACCAACACCCATGTTGAACAAAAAAAAACATTTTTCCTATGATACAGCTACTCAACCGACAAGTGGGCGCGATTGAATTTGCACCTCTAAAACCATTGTTTCTATCGACCTATCAAGCCTCAAGAGCCTACCTCCCCGCAAGCGCATGTTTGCCACCGTTGGAAGTGTACTTGCGGCGGGATCCTGAGGACGTCAACCCACGGAACGTCCTTCCAGTCATTGCACGTAGCTTGCAATCGATCACTCAGGTCGAACTCAAAGCAGCCTATGCACATTTCCGGAAAGCTGAGTTCAACGAAGCTTCGGCTAAATTCAGATCGATCTTACAATCACTGTTGCTAGTCGTCACAAAGGATGAAGCTGAACAGACTGAGGTAAGTTAATCACTTTGCCGGTTGAATGGGATGGCCGAGCGATTTCTTCTTTGCCAAGATCCGTAGCTGACGATTTTGATGGATGAGACAGTTATCGGAACTGATCATCACTTGTCGAGAGTATTTGATTGGACTTTCGCTTGAGATCGAGCGTCGAAGAGTGGCGAGTTCGGAGCCCGAGAATCTTAAACGACAGCTCGAATTGGCCGCCTACTTCACCCACTGTCGATTGCAATCCGTTCATTTGGTCCTCGCTCTGCGATTGGCAATGACGACATTCTCGAAATCTAAAAACTTCGTCACCGCGGCGACGTTTGCCAAACGATTATTAGAACTAAGTCCGGCTGCTAATGTGGCCACGCAGGTGGGTCTCGTGCACACCATAGAAATCGTTTCCCCTCTTTTTTTGTTTTGTTAACCGGCTGACATTTTTTTTTTTCTCAGGCAAAGCAAGTGCTTTCGGCGGGAGATCGAACACCAAGGGATGCGATCGAGATCGACTACGACCAATTCTCGTCGTTCGACATCTGTGCCGGATCGCTGACGCCGATCTATCGACAACAGGAAGGGAGCAGTGGCGGCGCGGGATTCGTCGAGGATCCGTTCACCGGGGCTAGATATAAACCCGAGTTCGTCGGCTCCGTCTGTAAGGTCTCTGGCGTCACTCAGGTCGGTAAGAAGGCCGCTGGGTTAAGGTCTAGGATTTGATCCTCCTTCATCCTGGCCTTTCTTCCGTGGGAATAAATTATACATGAGAAAACAAAAAAATGAAAAGTTGAATGGATTTCTTGTGGTCTGGTTCAATCGTAAACTACCAAGAATGTGCATTGTTAGATAATTACATACTCTCTCCTCTTTGCTTTCTCCCTTTCAAACAGAAAAAAAAAAACTTGATTTTGGTTTGATTTTTTGTTTGATTTAGTTGATCTCATGACATCAGTGTGAAATTTTAAATCCTGAAATCACCTTGTTTTTGTTTTTGTTTCTCCATTTGATCTTGTTAACCCCAACTACATTGTTTTCCTGCTCGTCCTCCTATCCCTCATCTCACCCATCACCATTGTCCTTCTCCTCTTCTTCTCACTTCTCCTTTTTTGTTGTTTTTAGTTGGTTTGTTTTGGTCTGCAGTTTCTTTGATTTCTCTTTTTTTTTCAAAGAAAACGTCTATATAGGTATTCTGCAGGGGATACAGAACCTTGATCAAGAAGGTTTTTTTCTTTTTAATTCACATCAGACTTGAGTCCCAGGGGCTGTCATGAAGTGATCAGAATACTTTTCTAAATGTCTTGTGTGATAATGGAGGACTTCCCGTCGGATCTGGGACCCTCGCAGAAGTCGATCTAGAGCCAAAAACTTTTAATTCTCGCAGAGAAATTTGAAGTTTGACGCTCTAAACCGACTCTGGGAGACCCGCAGAAGTTGACAGGAAGTCCTCTGATGGATGACTTCCTGTTGTGGTTTACAACCCTCCCAGAATTTAATTTACACCCCCTAGATCTTAATTTTTGGTATAAAAAATTATTTTTTTCACAAGCCTTGTGAAGATAGCTCTCACGTGAGCTGGTTGAAATTATGATGGAGGTATTAATTTAGGACTGGGGAGGGCTTAAAAAACACTCTAAATGGCAATGGGAAGTCCTCCAATCATAAGACAGAATTTAGAAAACCATGAACTGTGATGCTTCACCTGTAGAAAACAGTTCAGCAATGGAGGACTTCCTGTCAACATCTGTGGGTCTCCCAGAGCTGGTTTAGAGCCTCAAAATTCAAATTTACCTGCAAGAATTAAGAGATTTCAGGTCTAGATTGACTTCTGCAAGGGTCCCAGATCCAACAGGAAGTCCTCGAATACATAGACAATCAGCAACCATAAATGATATTGATAATCACAGTTACTTTGACAGTTTGAGTTTGCTTTTGCTTGGTTTCCTGGATGGCAGAACACCCTTACACACATCAACCACGATAACAATTGGAGGACTTCCCGTCGGATCTGGGACCCTCGCAGATGTCAATTTAGCCCCAAAAAGTCTAAAATTTCGCTGGGAAATCTAGCTTTCCAGGCTCTAAATTGCTTCTGGGAGACCCACAGATAGTGACGGGAAGTCGTCCATTATATGGGCAATAGAAGTAATACCATAAACCCAAACAAAAAAAATGAAACGGGTCATTATCAAGTTGCTGATTGTACCATCTGACTTTCAAAGATGATGTAGACTCTACCAAGTCTTTCAAAGTCAGTGATACCTTTGGTATAATTAGTAAAAGTCTGTTTGAACTAGATTCTGAATTTTATGTTTATCAAAAGCTTTGCAATCAGGTTGGTAACTACCAAACCCTGTGAAGCCTGATACATGCATATTTATTTACATACATAGGAGGAACTAAGAGTAATTGCCCTCAATAGGGGGGGGGGGTCCACAATTCAAATCTGGACAATTTTTACAGCCCGTTCCAAGGTGTTCCTCATGAACAAGTTTTTGAAAAATGAAACCCTAATATCTGTGGATCTTTTCAAAGTTTCAAAACGTTGCTGATAAGGACCTTAAAATTGACTTTAAAGACTTGATAAAGTTCAATTGTGAACTCCCCCCCCCCCCCCCCTAATTCCATGTATCCAATCTGAGAGGGTGATAATCAGCTGAATATGTAACTTCTTTTGTTTTCCCAAATTCCAGCAAGTTGGTAGGATATCTTCCAGACTGATCCCATCCACTTTTTCCCTTCAACCACATACTTCAAACTCAAGGCTGCTTCCCTGATTTGATGGAATTATGTTTTTTGGAAATGATTACATAATCAGAGTGGTCCCAATCACCACCACCCAAAAACAAAAACAAAAAACCAACACACTCAACAGCCACTTCCACGACCACTACTTTGACTGACTATCAGGATGGCTTCCTCATCGAGTACTTCCAAGGTAAGTGGTATCTTTTATTTGCATCAAATCTTCTCGAGTCAAAGACAGTCTTCTGAGGTTCTGATTCCAACTTTGGTCTGAAGACGGGAAACAAGTCTGCCAATCCAGCTGCCTCCTTAATCGCCGGTGCGTTTGCGGGATCCATCGAGGGATTCGTTACCGTCAGCACCCTTTCTATTCGGCCTTTCTGCTGGTCCTTAAGGACACCTCATGAAGAAAAAAAAAACACAAAATTGACAAGCAACTCCAATCTCTCCCGAATCTCTCTCACAAACAACACGAGGGAAAAATTTTTCAATGATCGAATCCCATTTCATCTTCGTCCTACATACTTCAAAAACTGTGATGTCTAGGCCATTCTTTTCCCTGTAGTATCCAACCGAATTTGTCAAGACTCGGTCCCAGTTCAGATCCGCAACGGCAATCGGCAAGGTCAGTCAAAAACAAATCTCTCCTCAGAACCTCAGCCGAAAACATTCAATACCTGAACACTCATAATATAAAAAACTACAAACATGTAATTCAAATTCTCGCAAAGCCGCCCGGACCGATCGAAATCTTGAAGACTACAATAGCAAGAGATGGGGTCAAGGGACTCTACTCTGGATGCTCTGCTTTGGTTATTGGTAATGGGTTGAAAGCTGGGGTCAGATTTTTCAGTTATGAGAAGTTCAAGAAAGCATTAGTAGATCAAGACGTATGTGAAGTAATTTTATTTTTTTTTTTTGTCAAGTCTGCAGTGATTGACTTGCTTCGAATTTAATTTTTTTAATTGAAGGGCAAACTTACAGGTCCAAGATCATTATTAGCCGGACTAGGTGCGGGGATGTTCGAAGCATTGATCGCGGTGACTCCGTCGGAGACGATCAAAACAAAGCTGGTCAACGAGTCGATGAAGCCCAATCCTCGATTCACTGGACTCGTCCAAGGCACCAAAGAAATCATCAAGATCGAAGGCATCGGGGGGATCTATCGCGGCTTGTTTCCGGTCGTATGTCCTCCCCCACCCTCCTCTTTCTCTCTCTTCCCACCCACACATCCCATCCTTCTCCCGATAATTCATCCCAAAAAAAACACACAGAAATACGGATTATCATTGAAACCGCGTCACCTTCATTCAAAATATATATATATATACATAATTCAATAAATGGCATGCAAAAAAAAAAAAAAAGATGATGCGGCAGGGAGCGAACTCGGCCGTCAGATTTTCTACTTACAGTTCCTTGAAAGCAGTGTTCCAAGGAAACGTGAGTCCAGGCCAACAATTACCCAGCTTCATGACCTTTGCTATCGGAGGAGTAGCGGGTGTCGTCACGGTTTATTGCACGATGCCACTCGAGTGCGTTCCATACTACAAGTATATTTCTGGACGTAAAAAAAAAGAAGAAGAATTGATTGATTGTTCCAACTGACTTCTTTTTTTGATATATATATATACGGATAGCGTGATTAAGACTCGGATGCAATCGCTAGAAGCTAAAACCAAATATTCTAATTCGTTCGATTGCGCGTATCAGATCTTCAAGTTTGAAGGAATCTCTAGGTTTTGGAAAGGCACTACTCCTAGACTGATCCGGCTAAGTCTTAGCGGCGGGATTGTCTTTACTGTCTATGAGAATGGTGAGTCCCCCCACCTTTGCATTTTAACTTAGATCAGCTCGCTTAATTTCGCTGCTTCTATTTTTGTTTTTGTTTTTCTAGTGATCAAGTTGATGGGAGGTCTTTCGATTTAGAAAAATATCTCACTTGACAAAAAAAGCAAAAAAACAAGAGATTTGAAAAGATCATTTCTCGATTTCTAATCCTTCATCCACCCAAACATGTACATAAATAACACGTATTTTGATGATAAGATGGAGAACCATCATTACCCTGGTTAACATTACACAAGAATAACATGAACACAATATTATGCATAAACAGTTGATTCTAGGAGTTCTCTCGGTTATGTAGATCTTTGAAACCTGTCAGGCTATGTGCACACTAATGTTTCAAAGCTTTACATAGGATGTAAATATGTACATGTTTGTTTTAGGCTTAAGAATACCAAGGTGTGTATGATGGTCGCGCCAGATCACGGGATGAAATATGTAGAATGAAATCAGTTGGCTTGGGTTGCTCATGATCAAACAATTCATCGAAACACTTCCAACCAAGTAGGTGGCTAATCTACCGAACCCAAGCCGGAATCATCTATGCAGCTTGAATGGCCAAAGTCATAACGCCAGATCACGCGAGAAGAGACGCGTCTCGAGTCTTGAGGGGGGGCATGTGTCAAGGGAAACACTTGAGAGCTGGGACTTGTGAATCTCTCTTTCCTTGTTTGTAACTCTCGGGGTCCATTGCAGCTACTGTCTCCCCTTCACTCCCTCCAACAGTTCTGGAGTTGCGAGGGGATATAAACACGAGGGGGTATGTTGGTGACAAGCTCACCCTCAACCATCCAACTTATACCAATCTTAACAATCTCTCATTCAAGACATGCTCTTCTCACCATCGTATCATGCCACTTTCATCTTGACGGTATGCGTCTTCCTCGGCTCGGTCGATTGCAGCCCATTGAAGTGGGATGGATTTCTGGTTCATGATGGAGTACGAATTCAACCAAGCACGCCCTTTTCTCTCCTCTTCTCTTCAAAACTGGAAGATAACAAACAATGTTCAGCATACATATGAAAAAAAGCTCTTGTCTTATTATGACTGAATGATCTTCTCCTTGACGCTTTTATTTTCGAACGCCCTGGATTCTTCCGAATGTTTCTAGACCAAATAGACCTGCAAGCGCGAGAAATACAACAAATGGCAGCACACGATGTCGATATCGGGAGACCTGTGCCGCCTCAGCCGCTGGACCTCATCGAGCGACCGGGCAACAACCAGCTTGGAGCCGGAAGTGAAGAAGACCTCGTCCAATCAGACATCCACCAAGATCCAGAATCCAGTGTTACCAATCCCAGGAGGGCTGAGAGACCCCACGAGGATGCGTCGACCAGTGGACCAAGGAATTCATGAAAGCTCGTCTGGTTCAGAGAACTTGAAGAACGGTAAGCATTTCTCGTATGTCTTCAAGAATGTCAACCAACTGTGTTCCTTTCTATCAATGTCTTATTCCAAGCTTTTGATTGATCCACCCAGAGACTCAAGTGAATGAAGTCTTGACCTTACCTTTTGGATCGAAGGCTCCAATGTGTAGATCTCCATCCCTCAAATTCATTCCACAACTTTTTTTCTTTCCCTCCTCAATTACCTTGTCTTGATTCTGCGATCCGTATACATATTTAATCATTTATAACCTCATTGCTCAGTCGGTTATAACTTTATGTCTGAGTTTTTCAGCACTTTGTTTCAAACTGCACCAGTCCAACAACCCAAAATTAAACCGATCGGAATTGGTCAGACTCAGAGGATCCAAATAATGATTATGAAAACAAAGATATGAAAACTGGGTTGTGAAATTTATGGAAAAATATTCACATTTCTTTTCTCTTCCGTGAATTTTGAAATCTCAAATGTGGATACATGAAAGTTTTTTTGTGAAAGGAAGGAGAAGAACAGGTTAATGAACTATGAGAAGTGATGAAATTATAGGTTAGGACCAAGGGGAAGAGGGGAAAGAAGCAACCGGAGCAACAAGCTCAAGATTGTCTTGAGGAAGAAAAACAAGGTCGAAGGAAGCACCTCAAAAGAGGTTTAAGCTGCTAGCTTGCGTGGCGGAAAAGCACTCACGCTACAGGAGATTGTATGTCTTAGAGACCTCAGGGAAATGCGCGCAGAAAGCAGATGTCTTTCAATTTCTAACTCAGGAGCATGTTTATTTATCTACATACAAAAGTGGGCTGAGATGTGGGACCGAAGGTGACAGAGGCATATTCATCTGGAGCAGGAAGGAAATGAGTGACAGATGAGGAAAGGAGTGACAAGGATGTGAAAGGGAGAGAAAGGAGGGACACCATGACTACAGAATTCCAACAAGAAGAATGATTAAGAATGAAACTCTTGAATAAACAAACTGCTTGGTATTTTGAAGCAGGTATGAAGTGAGCCATCCAGCTGTCTTGAGTTGCAGGTAGTTTCAGTGCTGGAGTCAACTGAAATTCAAATTTTGACCTGAGCACTGAACTCAGAATAGTTTTTGGTGCATTTTTTCATTTATTATCATTCTTCCCTCATATCATTGCATGCAATCCTCTAGCCACCATTCAGTTTACTTGTGAGACCGACATAAAAAATTACTGATGAAAAGAAGAGTAATTTTGATACTTTTGCCAAATTTTGGAAATCAGGTTTTTTCTTTTTTCTTTCTTCTCAGATAGATTAATCGGGACCCTTTTTGCACCACTTCACTCAGTCTAATGAGGAGAAGATTGTACGATGGGATTTGGGAAGGAACGAGAATGTGGGGAGAATTTTGAGTAACCCAAGGTTTTATAAACTCTGCATAGATATTGAATTTGCAATTTTGCAGGCTACACAGATCATTCTTTGCTCATAAAAGTCATGTTGGATGGAAAAAAGGACCATGAAACTGAGATTTGGATGAGATCATTTTCATTTGTATTGATGTTTCAATTCAAAAAAAAGCAGAATGGACCCATTTGAGAAAGAAACATGAGGTGAACTAGAGCAGAGGAGGAAGTTTGAGGAAAAAGAAAGAAGAGACAAAACACTGCACACAGAGCACAGACAAAACAGACCCAGGAAAACTCAACACCAGGCAGATACCATGTGTTTGATATAAGAGGCTTTGATATGACAGCTTTGAGGGGGTTTGGACAATCCCAATGAATGAATAAAAAAAAGGGGGTGGTTATTGTAAGACTATAATGATTGATGTGAGATGATCCGTGTATATATATAAGCATGGAGAGAATCTATGTAACCAAAACCACAACCAAAAAAAAAAAGGGGGGTTGTGGGTCAGGGTGGTGGTCAGAGTGCAGTTGTGATCTAGAGGAGGACCTGGAATCCTGTCTGATCTTGTCCGACTTTGACAAAGAGATGATAATGATTCCATTGATCCATTGTGTCCATTACAATACAACTTACCAAGCTGTAGCTCTTGAATCATCTCCGTGGATTCCAATCGTGAATCCCCCTCCCCCCCAAATACATTCATGAAGTACACCTAGTCAAGAGTCAACCCAAGCAACCATCCAAGTCCTTTGTAACACTTGATGATGATGAGTCCAAGAAAGAAAAAAACAACAGAGAGAGAATCCAAAAAGAGTGTCTCTTGCACTTGATCAGTGACACTGTTCTAATCACACCATCCATAGTCTTTCATGAACAAATCATTCCTTAAATCATTCCTTATAATTTGACTCATGATCATCATCAAACAAAGACAAGCAATAGATGTATGTATGTATATATATATATGGCAAGACACATTCATGACAACACATGTAATCAATTTAAATTGAAAAAAAAATCATTGATGATCAAGTCATATTTGTTGCTAGCAGACACACATGTATATATAACAAGACACACACATGCCAACCACCCAAACCCCACACGAAAAGATCATCAATAAGAGACACATCTGTTGCTCGCACAATCTTGCACATACATACATACATACATATAAGTGACATATATATATGGGAGGACTATGAAGAGTTGGATTGGATTGCCATATGGGTTGGGAGTGAGCAGTCAAGATAAATATGTATGATGGAGAGGGGGAAGACGAGTTGGATAGAATGAATGAAAGGGAGAGAGAGAACAAAAGCAGCACATTGGTTGATTGTTAAAACATACATTTATATATATATCGGATCATGAAACTCACAAACACAACACATTATTATATGTATAGTATATATATTATCAGACGCAAGTGTGCAGAGGAGAGAAAGAGGGCAAGAAAAGTGTGACAAGGGAAATATAGCTTATGGAAAGAGAGAGAGAGAGCTGGATGATGTTGTGAAGCGAGTGACAATCGGGTAAGAGAAGGCTTGCAACAAGGGAAGGGGAACAAAGCATGTGGGATAAGTAGTAAGAAGACATATACAGGATGCTTGAGTGGAGAGGCAAAGATAAGATGGGGGAATTAAATATGTATTTTTGTTTTTTCTTGTTCGGTGGAGGGGGACACATGCTTGTTGTAGATCAGTGACAAAGAGGGAAAGAAAAGGACCATACATCTTAAGAAAGGAAAAAACAGACCATCGCGACGATGCTCAAAAAAAAAAAAGAAGAAGTCGATGGGTAGGATAAAGTCCAAAGAAGCGAAGCTTGAAAAAAAAAAGTAAAATGGGATACTGAAGAACGTACATACATAGAACAGTGACAAAGATGTAATGGGTGTATATGTCGGGAAGGGGGATAAGGAAAGGATGATGCAAAAAAAGAAGAGATGCCGATCACAATAACTTAACGTATGTATATGTGCTGTGGCTTGTAGTATGTAGGGTACTCCTCAAACAGCAAGAGGAAGAACTGAGAGGGAAGTTTTACAAATACATGAAAATCCTCAATGACAGATTAGCGAAAACTAGGGCTGGCGTTATGTAGAAGGCTGGGCTAGATGAACAGTCCGCCAACAGATCAGTCCAAGACTGGGAGTGGGAAGAAGTACTTGAGTACCAAGAGAAAAAGGTGAGGTAGGGTAGAGAGTTTGACCGAGCGGATGTCAGCCTTGGTTTGACGCGGATCGATGGAATTGGACAGGGGTGGCCATGGATGGGTGATGAACCGAATACATAAACACAGCGAGTAATGCTAAAATTAAAAAGACCCAATTGGAGGAGACAAAAAATTTAAAATGTACATTTCTGCTTGTATCGTGAAAGGCAGCATTAAATTAATTTCAGTTCGCCAAAATGAGTGAGCAAGCGAGGTAATCATGTCTAGTAAACACCTGGGATGAAACGTCCGATCAGGTCAGGACACGACACAGCAGATTGAGGTCAACACAAGACGGGAAAAACTCACTTCGAAGAAAAAAAGAGAACAGCCGGTCTATGCAGAACCGAAAGAGAATTTGGGAGCGGGCAAAGCCGCTGGACAAGGGCTGTTGTGAAATTGTGGCCCGGCGTACATAAAGGCGGCTCGCAGAGCAGGTGATGAAAGCTTGCTTCCAGGAGTAGCAGCTAAATACAAGTCTTCACTGGTAGACCTAGGCTTGCTAGGGGTCATGACTTTGATGTCCTTGGAGTCATGTATGTGCGAAAAGACAGGGGCCGAGTTATTTGGCTGACTAGATTGTTGCACCAGGTGATGAGGGAAACCAGTGGGCTGGTGGGTATATGATTTAGCATGGCGGCGAATGGGGGTATTGTAATCGATTTGAGCCCCAAGAATGGGTAAGGGGTTTGAAAAGATCGGTTGAGCTACTTTTTCGTCGACAGAGTTAGTGAACGATTTCCATTCGGAAAAGATGTTCTCTCCACTTTTTAAGCCCAACGAACGAGACTTTTCATGGATCGGGGTGTTTTCCAAAGGCTGGACCGTGGAGTTGCGTGTGGAGGACAAGCTGTTCCTGCGCTTGTTAGAGGACGCGGGTGGACCACTGGTACGTGGCTTAGCGGCAGACGTGACACCAGCCTTACGAGGAGCGCAGGTCGCCTTGACTGGGGTTTTGACACCGGCAAGAGCTGCGTTTTTGGTGTTGCTAGACTTGGACTCAGAAGTGTTGACCGATTGATCAGAACGGGAGGCAAGGAGAGTGTGTCTAAGGGAGGGTCTGAGAATGCTTTGTTGCCAGGTCATCGCAGATTCGTCATCTGAACGGGATGAATTGGTCTTGGGGTTGGATGTGGTAGGTTGTGACAAAGTGCTGGCGCTAGAAGTACGAGCCAGAGGGGTTCGGTGACGGCGTGTAGAAGTTTCTTTTGTGTTGGGTTTGGATGAAACACAGTTGCCGGAGGAAGACTTGGAATCATGTTGAGCGAGCTTTTGCGCCAAATGACCACTGGTCGAAGCTGACGGGACAGTTTTGTTGAGCTTCTTCTCCATCTGTTGCCAAGTAAGCCCTTGGGCGGGGGCGGCGTGGGGCATGTCCCAGTCATCCTTGACGTCTCGAGATTTGCAGGGTGATTGCGGTTTGTCCAAGTCAAAGATGGAGGCAACGGACTTGGCACGCACATGTTGACGAGGGGGCAACGAGACGGGCGAGGCGGATGGCCGACGGGATGAGATGCCGGATGTGCTGCTAGGTTTGGTAGCAGCGGGGGATGAAGCAAGTTGGGCGTCGTCAAGAATTAAAGTGGATCCATTATATGGCACAGGAGATTCGGAAATTTTGATGGGGGTTGGTGTGCCGCTTCTGGAAGGAGACTCATGAGGAATAAACATTGGGTGGTCAAGTGTGAGCACGTCCTCAGAATCACTGAGTTGAGGACACATGGGAGCACGACGCTGTAGCAGATGAAACGGATAAGTTAAATCATTAAGAAGAGGGGGAGATGGAGATGAGAAGGAGGATGTAAGTCTTACCTGACCACCTTTTTTGGACTTTCGGTTGCTGGTTTTTTTCTTTGAGTTACGTGAACACTTGGATGGGGTGACTTCAAAGGATTGATCGTGTACCTGGACGGTGAGTTGGTCGCAAAAGTCGGTTAGAGAGAGTACTTGGCGCTTGGTGGCTAGTTCTGATGTTTGAGGAGTTGGGGACGGGTTATTCAAGCGATCAGGAGACTCGATAGACGACTGATGTGGTTCGGGAAAGGAGAGGTTATACAAATGAGAGACCGGTTGGAGGGCCGGTGGGGGACTAGTGGTACCTTCGCGAGGTTTTCGAGAACGCTTGGAGGTAGTTTTTCGATAGCTGGTTTTGGTGGTGCTAGACGGAGTGGGGATCGATTGGACGGTACAGGCCAGCTGGGATCTGTCAGTAGATTTGAGGGGGTGTTTGGGGCGGGTAGAGTTGTCTGAGACCGGACGAAGAGCTGATTTGGATCGGGTGAGATGCTCGGGGGCGGAGTGTCGAGGTTTGGTGGATTGACAGGCGGGGTTTTGGAAGTGGACTGGGGTGGCCGGCCTGCTTTTGAGTGGGGAGGTTCGAGGGTTGAGATGGAGCAGGGGAAGAGGGGACATGTTGGAGCCTGGGGACTGCTTGATGGAGGGCTGAGAGTGATATTGGGATACAGAGTGAAGGCGAGGCATGGGAGAGAGAGAGAGAGAGAGAGAGAGAGAGGCGGGAATTAAAAAGAAAAAAGAAAAGAAACAGGGGTTATTTTTCAGATTGAGAAATCAAGTGAGAAAAGATATGGTTATGTAGACAGGGCAATAGGAAGATGAATAGGTATGTATGAGGAAGGCAGGCGCTTGCTGGGCTGCACAGTTGTTGGGGTGGGGGCTATGCTGGGGCGGGGAGAGTAGAGTAGAGAGTGGGTAGGTAATGGTGGACGAAAAAGGAAATTATATAATATAGGAAGAAAAGAGGAGAGGAGGAAGAGGTGAAGGAAACAAACAAACAATAAGGATGAGGGGATATGGTAAGGGTGGATGGATGTGGATGGATGTGGATGGAGGGTAGATGGATGGATGATGGATTAAGTAAGTCAAGGGGTGGAGAGGGTGGACCGAGCCAAGCAGGCGAGCTACAGCGCAACGGTTGAGGAGTTGGTGTGGTTGATGACTGAATTGGTGAAGATCGGTGAGACTGAAGTCACTGAAGGAGGGGGGGAGGGGGAGTGGATTACAGGGCGGGGATATTATGGAAGAGAGGAGTCGAGACTTGGGTGAAGTGATGAAACAGTGACTTGACGACCAGACTGACCAAGAATGAGATCCAAGCGAAAACTATCGACGATGATGCGTAGAAGATCGAAAAAAAAAAAAAACAGCAACCAACACACCCACACAGCTTAAAACGAGCTACATAAACCCATGAACCGATATGGTGTATCAGTCTGCAGTATAATTCAAATAATATGTATATAGAAAACGACATGTGTTGTGTGTATGCACTTACGTGGCAGTGGGGAAGCCCTCTCAACAGTTTCGACGGTATCAGGAGAAATTCAGGCAAGGCAGAGAAGCTCAAGCTGGGGTGGCTATGAACTGTGACGTGTAAGAACGAGCAACCAAGCACTAGAGGGAGGAACAAGAGCGAGCTGATGATGATCGATACGAACCAAGTTAAGAAATACGTAAGACTGATCCAGGCTATGTAGTGGTTTCTGGGATGGATGGTCAACAAGCGAGAAGAATGAGACTAGAGTGGGGTGGGATGAGATGAGATCGGAATGAGGACGGAGCGGGAAGAGGGAAAGAGTCAAGAGCTTGTTCGTTGGATTGCAGGGAAGGAGGGAAGGCAGTCGAGGTGGGCCGCGGGGCACTCATGAATAATATGATTCGCACCGTTTCTGACATGGGAAAAAACAGCAAAAAACTCAACGAAGAAAAGAAAAGAAGCAGCTGCGAAAAACACAGAGCAAGACACTCCATGAAGAGCAAGCACATTTCAGCGTTTCGATTACAGCGCTGAGGGGCAATTATTTACGTAAACACGCAGTTGAGGTGGTTTGGTTTCTTTTAAACTCTCGACGCCAACCCCACCGCCGTCTAAGAAAAACTAAAAAAAAAAAGAATCAAATTCTTGCGGACGACTGATCATACATTATCACCTGATCGATCGATAGAGATATGTATAACAGTAAAAGACATGAGAATTGCTTGGAGGCCGATGAAGAGCTCTGAAAGTCTGGACTCTGTCTCGACTGGACATCCGGGCTGCGATGATCAGTCGTGCAAGGGGAAGTCTTGAGGGGATCCGAGTCCGGAAATAGAAATTTCCCGCTTGATATCGCTTTGAGAGACTTGCATCTTGCAACAAAACACATATATTGTCTTTTCAGAGAAGCTTGGAACCCAACAAAAATTTTTTGTCTTGGCAGATCCCATAATCTTAGAAAATCCATATTTTCACAGCTCATGCACTTTGAAAATCTAGGAAGATAAACTTACCGACCAACGTGTTATACCTCATGATGTGTCCAACCGTGCCCGGTGATGTGATCCTCATCTGATTTTCCATTCCTTGGGTCGGTCAGTTGGGTCAGTTGGATGCGGATGGTCCTCAACCAGGTGTGGCCCATGTTACGACCCCTCCCCCCAACCGCAATGGCCACAATCCATCAGTATTTGCTCTCCCCCCAAAACACTCGCTGATTCCACCCTCCGAGCAATGTCTTTCTACCGCAGTCCCGCCAATTCGAACGATGACAATAGCTCCTATTCGGATCCGATGAATTCCGCACCGGCTCTTAGAGGTTCAGTCCAGCTGCAGGCGGCGTCACATTGGTCCCAACACGTTCGTCCCGCAACCCCTGGTGCTAATGGGCTTCAACCTCATCCGGCTTCCGCCAGAACCGGATCGGTGTCCCCCATTTGGCCTACCAATCAAGCTGGTGCCGATGGGTACTATCATGTTTCGACACCGATGGCTGGAGATGGCGGATCTTCCGGTCGCCCTTGGGCCCTCAATCAGGAGCGTTTGCGATTCCACGATCACCATCCCGGATTGGCTGCCCCGCGATGGCAATCTGATCAAGATCAACAGGGCCCGGCCCACGCACGAGAGCCTTCATCCTACCCCTTTGGGCGTTCCCCTGCGGTTCGCCAGCATTCGCATTCGCCAGAGGATTACGATGAACCCCTCCCCACTCTAATCATTCCTTCACCGGCTCGACAACCGACGCCACTCCCGGGCATGTTTGAGTGCGACATCAGCTTTCTCATGTATTGTGCTCGGAAGAATAAGCAGAAGAAGACGGTTTGGTCAGGAGTCAGATCCAAAGTCAAAATTTCAATCTCGTTCAACTGCCACACGATTGACTTACCTCGCTTCAAAGAATTGGTCACATTAGCGTGCGGCAAACGTCACCCGAATGCGCCCCCCTTGATCGAACATGGTACGAACTCCTCGCCACCAACGATGCTCTGGGTGGCCTACATGGCCCGTAACCCAAAATGGCTGAAGACCGGATCGCAGTCAGTGGCTACCGGCCCTATGTTTGCCGATTGGATGCAAGACATTATCCAGGGCGGTGTGAAGAAGGGAGGGCTCCACCTCAAAATGGACAACCCGAGCGACAACAAATCCCTTGCGGCCGACAATGATTTGATGGCGCAAACCGTCCGTCGTCATGCGGCTCAAACGGCGACCCTAATGGCCGTGTTGGATAAGCACCCTTCAACCTCTGCTGACGGCCCTCCTGGCGCTCCGCTCTCACAAACCCTGCCCCTTGGGCAGACACCGTTTGATCTCGATGATGACGCGGTGAGTCACTTTGCGTTTTGGGAGGCTAATTGGTGTATGGTCGGTGCTGATTGGGTCTTTGGGGGGATTCTCACACGTGCCATTATACAGGAAGACTCCTGTGATGATAGTTTTGATGCGCGAAAAATCATTGAGGAGGAGATCTTTAGGAAATATAGTGGAAACATCGGTGTGGACCCAAGCCATTCGGTCTACCCGCATCCAACCGATGTCAATCGGTATGTTATCCTCACAGCCGGGAATGTGGCCTCCTGGGCTAGAGCAATTGTAAGTTTGATCGGTCTAGGAATAATGGGCGAGAACCTCCTTTCCAAAGCAGCTGACTTGTTCGGGCCGCTAGCATGGCAAGGTCAAGGGGGTCAGTCTCACCTCCCCACCGAGCTGTGTCAAGTTTTAAAACCGCAAGACTCGCAAGTCCACGCATGTCGACCCAAACGAGCATCCCGTTACTCCTCACGTGCCTCCGTTGGCCGCTAGTGCCAACCAACCGGATGCCTCACCTCCTACGGGTCAGATCGTGACCCCGGAGTTGGTGGCATCCATTGTGGACATATGCACCGAGACCATCTCGAAGAAACGGGCACGGTCCCCGGAAAGCTCGAGTTTGCCCGTAGGGGTGGCCGGGTCCGAAGAAAGCCTGCTTGATTATGTCAAATTTGCCGGTGTCGCAAACGCGGAAGAAACCATGCGTGTGCTCGAGCGGAACGAAGTCGATAGCTACACAATGTTTGCCGACGGATTCTTCACCCCCGAGCAATTGCAACAGTTAGGCCTCACCGTGGGGACCCTGGCTAAGCTCTGTCGAAATGTGGGTCGATACGAACGCAGCCGTGCTAACGCGAGGGAAATACAATGATCGACTAAGGTTCCTTCGATTCTCTTGTTGTTGCTTGCTCATCGGAATTTGTCTTTGTTTTCTGTTCCATTCAAATCGCTTCTTGGTTCCTTCCTCACTGATGGTTGTTAGTACTGTCTATCGGAAACCTGACTCACCAATATATCTGATGTTCTTGTTTCTTTGTCTTTTTTTTTGTCTCTCACCCTGAACTCACACACGGCATGTAGTCCGCTGAAAAATTGAAATGATCTGGTTTCTTGGTCTTTGTTTTTGTCTCTCACCCTGTCCTCACACACGGCATGCAGTCCGCTAAAGAATTTATCCCATTGTGGGCAAGATTGAACATGACCATTTAGTCGCATGTGGCAACTCAAATGGTCCAGCGGAGAGAGAACAACCAAAAGATCAACTGCAGAAGGGCACAACATCATGTGGTGCTCATTCATTGCGGACCCATGGGTACGGATGGGCTAGACATGACACAACTAAGAACTAAACAGCAACACATGGGCATACAGACATGGAAATCAGGCTTGTTCGCCGCATGGGCATACAGACAGAGATGCAAATCCAGCCAACCATGAAAGGGTAAGGAAAACTATAATACTATAAGGGAGTAGATCTCTCTTGAACATAGCGCTCCAAGCGGGGAACTCCCTCACATAACAAACGTGCCACACCTAAGGGGAACCCCAAGCGGACCAACTCATTTTCGGTGGATCGTCGGAAAAAGGTCCAGTGAGTGATGCCGTTCGACCTTAAACGACGGCGGGTCGCTTGATTGGTTTCTTCTATGTGAGCCACGGTCAAGTAAGTATCCATGTCGACCGCTTCCATCACTGGAGCCTCGGGACCTAATGGTTGGCGATCGGCGTGACGATCATGACCCGCACGGGTGGGCCCTTGGATGACCTCGATTTCGTTTTCGTTGTCAGCCGGGGCCTGATTTTTTGCTTGTTTGACCGGTCGTCCGGGAGCGGAACTAGAAGAAGGGTGACCCTTGCCAATGGCCTTGGCTTCGGGCTCGTCTTCGTGGACTCTCTTCATGTGACCGCCACCACTGCTGACCGTCTGTCCAATTGGCAGACTGGGTTAGTAATTTGAATACATACTCAAGGTCGTGTGAGCATGGCATTACACACCATGGATTGCGCCGGCTTGCTTCCCGGCGTTTCTCGAACCGACCCCTCGGCTTCACCGGCCGCACCGGGATTGGTGATCCGGGTTGTCTACAAGTCATATTTTATGTCAGTCAACACCGTCGTGAGCTTGGTGAGATCAGAGGACACCTCGGCCCGGCTCACCTGGGCGGCGTTTGGCGGCATCACCTTGGGAGGCTCCTTCATAACCAACTTGATTATAACCTTGTTGGGGAAAAGTTCGTAGGCAAGGGCCGCGAAATCGATGAAATCCAAATGACCGCCGATTTCAGTCTTGTTCTCCTCGCTGAACTTTACATGGCCCGAGATGAAAGCTTGCCAGTGAAGCGCGCCAGCGTTCCGGGTGGCAGATAAGAGGCGGGAGAGAGGCGTGTCATCAAGCGGAGCTAGGTGTTTGATAGCCAGGCCTTGGAAATGCTTCCAGGTCATGGATTGCAAGTCCTCGATCATGGCAGCTAGCTCGCGAGCGGGGGTGATGATGGACCAGCCATTTCCGGCGTCCTTGACTTTGGTATGGGGGAAGAACCGTTTGTGGGAGCTATGGATAAATAAAGAGAAATCAAGATGAATTGATGCTTTTCGAGGAGGATTATCTATTAAGTCATCCTCCTCCAACTGGGTTTCAGGACAGAGGACTATTTTAGACACAGTAGGCATTATAATTCCAGTTCGAGCGGAAGCAGGTGGATGGGGCCTTTGGAAGCACCAACCCAGGTGTCCGTTGGCACTTTTTAAATACTGGGAGGGAAGGCCGAGATCCCTTGTACTGCGAAGGCACTCATATCCAATGCCAACTGGTCACCACCACGGCCCAAATCCACGTCACTGCGGATATCTCGTGCTCACCGGAGCATATCCCTCATATCCATTCCACCTCTGCGTGTCATGACCGAAGCCCAGAGATATCAGACCGATCGGGGCTGTCAGAATAAGTTGCCGCCCATGAGGGTTGCCCCACGAACATACTCATGGGATCCAGACCCCTAATCATGTCTTGTGACAGCGGTCATCATTCAATATGGTGCGCTATCTTCGTTGCAAGGTAACCAAAGAAAACCACGGGCAGACATTTTAGAAAGGAATGCCCTCAGGCTAGTAGCTAGTACAGGTTGAAAGGAAGATGAAGAAGAGAAGGGGGGAAATTCCAAGGCCCCCGATCCTCAAGCCCCAAAGAATCAGAAGGGGGAGTAGGGGGAGTAGACAAGGAGACTAATCTAACATGACCTGGTCGCCGCGTTTCATTCACCAAAATGAAACTCGGCCATGTCGGGAGCACCTGTAGTCTCGGGGCATGGATAGCCAGCGTGGTGGAAGAGCTTCTGGCACAGGCGCGCAGTAGCGATTCGGTAGGTAGTGGCCTCAATTGTCCACTCGGGGTCGGTCGACGTTGCCAATGCCTGTGAGCGTCGAAGATTTGACTTCACCTGGGAAAAGACGAGCTCAATTGGGTTGAGTTCGGGACAATACGGCGGCAGAAACAGAAGTTGCACCCCAGCGGCCCGACATAACCGGCCCCATGGATCCCGGCATTGTCCAGAACAAGAACAGAGTTCTTGCCTGGATATCGATTCATGCGTGGGAGCTGCCCACTAGCCCGAGTCAGTACAGAATCACTACACCGGCACACCAAAGAGAGGGAGACCAACCAGATTGTACTTCACGAAGTGCGCAAAGTTGGTCCCCTTCACATTCTCCTCGGTCACCATTAGCGCGAGAATCCCATTGAGGCCAATTGCAGGGAGAAGAGTGAATCGCTTGGGGTTTTGTTGGATGATTGTTCGATTAGCGGTTTGGCCTTTTGAAGATCGAGAAAAAGTCCGCAACAAATCCCTTGAGCAGACAGACGATTCATCTTTTCCCATCATTCAGACATAGCCAAACCAACTGCATCAGCCAAACCAAGTCAGGAGGTGCGGCCGAGATCCAGGAATAGATAGACGTACCAGAGAATACAAGGAAATCTGCCGGTATTGTGAGGATCTTGTCTACAAACTCGTACTTTGCAACCAGGGATTTTTTGATGTTTAAAGTGTTGGCCTTTTTCAATGTTATTTCCAAGTGTTCAACAAGCATTGAGTGGAGGCAACTGATACTCAAGAGCGTATCGGATTGATCGTAGAGCCGCTCTCGCAATTCATCCAAGAAAAGACCGGGTTCCGATCGAAGTAATTCAATCATAAAGGTTTGATCGTCGGCAGTAAGTAACAGGCCTGGGCCTTTCTTTTCGTATTCGTCCGGATCTCGGATGACACGTTGAGTGTTTCGATACAATTGTGTCCACCGTGCAAAAGATTGTTTCGAGATCGGCTCGCCGAGGGTGTCGCAGATGAACTGTTGTGAGTAAGACTGGGCAACCATGCGAACCACCGCAATTTTGATCCCAGCCGGGATCAGTCGATACGGCATAATGACAGAGTATTGGTGGAAATCAGCGGGAAATACCAAGGTCGTTGGTCTGGAGGGTGGAAGGAGGGAGGAACGAAATCAGGATTCGGTGAAGCAGCCTGGGCACGGAATTGGGGAGAAGTTTGATCTTGAATCTTAGGTGATGCACGACACTGGTGATGCAAGGCTAGAGGATCCGCAGACGTAATGCGTGCTTGAGGTTGCCTCATCCCCAAGTCTGCACATCCTTACGTGACGACTTGCACCCAATTTACGCGTGGAGTGGTGTAGGACTCCTGGGACGGATAGACACGGTAAATTATATGTATATCAAAAGATCCCTTGAGGGGGAAATAAATTGCAAATAGGTTGAAAGGCTATTACAACTTACGGGTGGTTTGAAAGACCTGCCCCTCTAAATGTACTAAACAAATAACTAAGAGTCTTGTAATCAATATTTAATAATGTATGGCTGATTCCAAGATAGATCTTACTTTTGTAAAGTAATCTCTATCAGACCTAGATCACGTATCAATCTACTAATGAATCTGTTACAACTTCAGGTTAATAATGGAAACTGTGGTGCTGATGACTTGAGCACAAAACAGATGAGTTGTTATAGAGTTTGTTAATGATCTCTTCCTCGAACAATTTCTTGCTAAGGCACTTTAATCAAAAACTAGAGCTCCGGTACTAATACTACTACTACTTGTTATTGGTTAATTGTTAATGTACTACTACTTATATGATGACTACTACTACTAATATGCTTCCAATTCCGAACTCTGTGTTGATTTCTTACTCACTATGCTGTTGTAACTTGCTACGTATCACTAACTAACTCACTACTTAACTTACTAACTAACTATGACCAACTTACCGCAGTAGGCTGATGTACTAACTTCACTAACTAACTAAACTATCACTAATTCTAACTCTTCACTTTACTGACACTCCGGAACACTTCCAGTAGCTCAGGACCAACTTACTGCTCTGCGAGACTTCTGTAGGCTGATGGGGAGAAGACACTTTCTGGTGGGGAGAGGTCCTTCTTTTATATTGAAGAGTGAGGGATTTCTGCTGCAGGGGACTCCTTGTGAGGGAATATTGCTGCAGGGGATCTCACCTGCACAGCCTCCAAACAAATAGCGCAGCTTATGCTGTGCTAGGAACACTTAACTCCAGACCTTGTCACATAATATGCATGCAAGGGAGCACACAAGCGCAGCATGATGTCATGCATTGCCAGGCAACCAAGCCATCTTCCAGAACCAAGCGCAGCATGATGTCATGTGTCGCCAGGTAACCAAGCCATCTTCCAGAACATTCTGCATAGGCAGTACCAGCCTACCAGACCTGCTGTTATCTCCTTCCATCCAGAGTTTGGGGGTCAAAGCCTCTCCTCACTCCTTCCTTCCTCCCTCCGCCTCAATATTTTCCTCCCTTCACTTTCTACAATCCGTACCCTGTACCCTTACGTAAAAACATAAAGTACCCTTATTACACGCCGCTCCTCCGTTCCATTCCTGGTTGAGACATGTTCTCCCACTCCTCTCCACGTATATACTTCCGCTCCTCCGTTCCATTCCTGGTTGAGATATGATCTCCCACTTCACTCCTCGTATGCACACCGCTCCTTTGTTCCATTCCTGGTCGAGATATGTTCTCCCAATCCACGTGTTGTATGTAATCCTGTCCGTATATACCACACCTCATCCATAATGATTGTTCCTTCTCTTGTAATGATTGTCACATGTATGTACCTATGCTATCCCAACACCTCTGCTGTATGCTTTTGGCATTGGAACAGGCACAGCACACCACATCCCCCCCCAACTTAATGCTGTCCGCAGCATTCCTGTGGAAATGCCAAAAGACCATCGATCCTCGTAATTTCTAACCAAGACTTCCGCAATAACATCCTTCGTCTTCAAGATCCAATCCGTACCAAGTCCACTTCTATCCGTAAATAAGTCCATTGCCGTCCAACATTTATATAGTCAATCCGTATTCCGTCCATAAGATAACCGCTACAACCTAATCCCAGACGCCCATGAGTTATTTCAAACTATTTCATCTCACCCGCTCCAAGAAGAGGTTGTTGGCCAAAAATCCAGCAAGGATTAATTAAACCGCTCAAACACTTCCCTCCTTCTCTCTTCACTATCACTGTCACTCAAACTCTCAATCCAATGTATAATTCTCGCTGGTCTTATGAATCTTCAAACATCTTGACGTATAAATATTCCACGCTAATTTCCCGTTCCACGCCGTCCATGTCGTTGGTTTGTTTCTTCTCCTTCCAAGTCTGTCTGTTTTTCCATCATCCTGTTAAATTTCCAAGTCACCATGCCATTTTTATCCATTCCGCCCAGTGCTCGTACCGCCGTGTTCTTTTCTTCTTTATTTATTTACTAACTACCAATTCATATTTGCACATTGTTAATTGCTTGATTTTTGATTAATTCTGTTTGAATTTGTTTGAATATGATTAATTTCATTTGAATTTGACTAATTTCGTTTGAATTTGACTAATTTCATTTGAATTTGACTAATTTCGCCCACCCTATTCCCTCAGCTAAACACAAGATCCTGTTTGCCTACCAATTGCTTTCCAATTCTAATAATAATACTGAATATCGTGATAATATATTTGCGCCATTTAATTTCTTCCTGAACCAATCCGCCACCCTGTGAATTTCTTGACTTCTTAATCCGTAAATTGTTGCCATACTCAATTTTGTTATCCTTAGACGTAGCAGTTTTGAGCTCATGCTGAGGAGCTAAAAGAATGAATTATCATAGCAGTTTTAACTCTTGCTGAGGAGGGGTGAGCAGTTTTACCTCTTGCCAAGGAGGCGGGTTTTTGTTTTTCCCATAAACTTGTGTTCTTCAGAATTTTTGACACCTATATCGTGCGCAGTTGCGCGTCGTTCCGCTCGTTTTGCTTCAAGTCCAAAATTGTGTATGGTGCGCTCGGTGCGCTCTCCAAGGCGAAGTCCGATCGGACTTGATTATATGATTTAAATTCTTGCGCTCAGTGCGCTCACCTCAGCTAAATCCGATCGGTATTGGACTAGAAGCCGGATGGTCGTCCTCGGTCCTCGACCATCAATCCAGAAGAAAAAGATCGGTTTTTCCTCTCCTCCATCAATGATAACCTGTAAGTCACATGTTCCTCTGCTCATTCTCCATCCACTTTCCCTAGCTAACTAGTCTCTCTCTTTTATATATATATATATATATATATATCTATTCCTAGTGCATCTTGATTGTTTTACCTCAATCTGTTTCGATCAGGCTGGTTGTAGTTGCTCATGCACACCTGGAATCGATCGCTTATTTCTGATGCGCTCGTAGTCTCGTACCCACCGAAAACCAAATCGTTCGTTCTTCTTGATATATTTCTATCTAGCTTTATTGAAATTACCATGAAACTTATATCGATTCTACCCTTTAGTCCTACCTCCTGACGTTGATCCGATTGGATCCTGATTGAAGCTCTGCTTCTGTCACTTTTTAAGTTCTTTGTCTCGGCTTTGCCTCGGATCGTTCTTCGCATCGCTAACTTGAATCTCACCCAATCGATTCTCAAGAATGTTGCCTTTGACTCCTTTCCATTCGACCATCCAAACCACACCGCCATCTGCTCGCCAGTCTACTTAATATCAATCCAATCCACGTCCAAGTCGCTTTGCCCGTTACTGGTGTATTCTCTGTCTCAAACTTGCCACAACCTCTCCGATCCTTCTCGGTTAAGCCTAGCTGCCGACTCGATCTCGCTACTCGCATCCCCATCGTTTGTTCTAACCTCACTACCGTCACTCAATCAACCCAATTCTATGGTAAGCTCATTTCTTTGTCTATTGTTTTCTCATCCCTGAGCTCATCATCCTACGCTTGCGGCTATTCTACTTCTGTCAACCGTTCACTCCAGAAACACTGCCACCTCCGCTATCGTTATTAAACTCGCCGCAGCCGCGTCCTATTCACTGTTTGCCTATCTCAACCACACCGCTGTCTGCTTGCCGATATCCATATCATCGATCCGATCCTCTCCCTAACCGCTTTCCCATCACTTGATGTATCCTCTGCCTCGAACTCGCCTTGGACTTCCCCGCCGTTATGACCAACAACGGTTCCGCCATAGCTACATCCCTATTGCTTTTCTTTTTGCCTATCCAGACCATGCTGATTTCCACTCGCCAATCTCTGCATTCCCTCAAAGAAGTCTTCATTCCTTCAAAGAAGTCAAACCCGATCGTCGTAAGAACAACATCCTCGTCAACCTCGCCCACTGAATCATTGTCACATTAACCTAATCGTTGTTGTTGCTTCCGTCTTCTCCTGCTGTTCCATCTTACTTTTCCTATTCCAAGAAATACAAGCTATCACTATGACTGTAAAAAAAACAAAAAGAGAAGAGAGAGAAAAAAAACCTTCCAATTGCTGACTTATGAGTTGCTTGATATCTTTCCCCATCATCCAAATTATACACAACTGACTAACACTACAAAGGTAAAGAAAAGGCCTTTTCTCTTTTTTTTTTTTTTTTTTTTTTTTTTTTTTTTTTTGGCTGCATTGTTTCTACCTGTGTAAATAAAATCAACAGAAAAAAATCTTGTAATACTGTCTGAACCTCCTTTTCTTGCACTTTCCTCCCTACATAAATTTTATTGTCAAAGCTAGCAACTGCTTGATAAACCTAAAAGAACAACTTTGAGAGATCCTAAAAAAATAGTTTTTTTTTTGTTTTTTTTTTTTTTTATGAGACACGTCTCCAGAAATCAACTATTCTCTGGAAAGATGGAAACCTAAGAGGACATATCTTTGAGCCACATTTAAACCTATGCATAAAACTACTGACCTATCTCAGGTATACATGAAAGTATTCAAGCGAACCCAACTATCTTATATTACAGAACTAACCACGACAGGAAAAAAAATTAATCCGCTATAGCGGACATACTCCGATTCTTTCAGCATAGTTTTGTAATCTGTTCCTCGGCGAGCTTGTTCGTCTCGTAGCACCCATTTAAATGCATTCCAGTCAATTTTTCCAAACAGTCCAACCATTTTTGATACCAATTCTGCTAAGAATTTTTCTTCTTCCTTTCGACGCTTTCTCCCACTGTATCGTATTTTTTGTTCTTCCACTAGGTACACCCCTGTGATGTTTCCTAAATACATATGATACCGATCTTCAGACACGATCCACCAAGTTTCTGGCCAGATATTATCATTCTTCAGGTAGCCTTCCGTCCCGTCATGATCAAGTAGCATTATGAAACCAATACGACCTGTTGGATACCCCGGTAGCTCCTTCCAATCTCCCTCTGCTGTTGACCCACGATTCTCAGGGAACATTCTCATAAATTCTTTATGCGGGTATCCATCATCAATGTAATCTGCTGTGATCGTCAATGTACCTGCCACGGTGACGTACTCCTCTCTTTTGCCAAGGTTTTCCATACTGCCAGCCTCCTTCTGTTTGTTGTCTTGATCCAAGGTTTCTTCTAGTTTGCTTACAACTTCCGCCGGTCTGATGTTGTCCATTAATCCACTGTTGTCCTTTGATCCACTATTGTCCATTAATCTGCTGTCGTCTGTTGATCCCCTGTTGTCTGTTGATCCACTGTTGTCTGTTGATCCGCTGTTGTCTGTTGATCCGCTGTCATTCATTGATCCGCCGTGGTCTGTTGGTCTGCTGTCCTCCGTTGATCCACTGTCGTCCGTTGGTCTGCCATTGTCCGTTGATCCGTTGTTTGTTGATCCGCTGTCGCCCATCAAAATTGAATTAATGCTCATCACTGATCTGCCGCTCTTGTACTCATAAGTCTGTGCTTGCATGCTGGAATGCTTATCTGATATCCTCCGCGGTGGAGCCATTTCCCATCCTGGAATCTTGGGAGAGCAAATAGGTATGCATAATCTTCCTCCATCCCATAACTCATAACTCAGTATTTCTCCACGACTCTTTGATAATTCTAGACGTACCTTATGATCTGCTAAGAATGGCCTTCCCAACACTGTATGAACTTTACCTCGAGCAATAAAGAAATTAGCTGCCTTCTCATCTTCTTCATCAATGCAAAAATGAACACTTTCGGCTAACCCCACAATAGGTGTTGAATGTCCTCCGATTCCCATGATATTCATACTAATCTCACGTGCTGGTAACTTCAACTGGATCGCCAAGGTTTCTGGCATAATATTCATTTCTGCTCCCGTATCCACTAGTGCTCGGACTTTCTGGCCCGCAATCCAAACCTCAATAAACCCCAAAGGACAGGCATAAGTAAGTGCATTATTACCTAATTTCATACTCTTTTCCCGATGTTGGTGAGGTTCCCTATCGTCAAAATTCCTATGATCACACCTCCCCGAGTTCTGACTTCGCTCCCGTGGAATTGAATTGTCTTCTGCTTCTGTCTGTAATTCCTGAAGAAACTTGGGTGCAATTAATAATAATTCTTCCAAGGTAAGTGTGAAACTTTGTTTTAGAAATTTCTTTCTAAGTCCCCCCCCAACTTTAGACTGATCCACGGTTCGGGGAAATACTTCTTTGGCTGACTTTTCTTCCATCCTCTTCTCTGGTGTTTGTGACACAGGTTTCTCCGCTTCTGCATTGTCGCCGTCGCTGCTTTCATTGTCCGATTCTCCTTCCATCCATGCTCCCGGATAACTTGGTCGTCTCTTGTGAGTAGTTGCGGGATCTTTATTAGCTTCCTGATTTCCTGGCGGAGTCTTTGAGATAGATTCCTTTGGTTTTCCAGAAGTTTCTGGTTTGGATGCTGGTGGCTGTACTTCCTTCTCCTTGTCTTTATTGGTTCGAGCGGACCTTCGCAGCCCAAATCCAACCAAATTCTCCTCGTCTTCCTCCCCGTAGTGCATTTCTGGTGGACTCCATGCTTCCCATCGATTTGTAGAGATCATGGACGCCGTTGGTTCTTGTCTTGGTTGTGAAAACTGATCACTCATCATCAGATTTGCTTGTTTCTTACTGGTCTCCTTGGCTGCATTCGATTTTTCACCAAATTTCCTTACCAATTCTCGAATTGATTCTCCGGTGTCTGTTGGAATGACTTCCCGGTTGGGGTAATAGAAGTTCGGACCTTGCTTGAAAACCAGGCGTTTAGTAATATCTTCATTCAAGTGCTGACAGAACATTGAGGTATGGTCCATCTCCTTACAATAAAAACATTGCAGCTGTGGTCTTGGAAATGGCGGTCCTCCTGGTCCTGGCGGTCTAAATCCTGCATTCGGTGGTCTTGGCGCTGAAAAGGGAGGTGGAAATGGCCTAGCGTTTTGATTGGTATTCACTTCGGTACGTAACTTCTTAATTTCCTCCTCTAAAGCCTTCATTTTGTCAATGCTGCTGTCCAACTTTGTCTTGGCTTGAACTTCTCGTTTATTCTCGGATTCCTTGGTAGCAGGTTTGGCTTTAGTGATACCCACATCCAAGTCATATACCGATAACGAGGCTTCCACGTAGTCCTTCAAAACTTCCAACTTGGGTACCAGCGCCTTTCCGTCCTTGGTCTTCTTCAATTTCTTGTCGTGTGCCAACTCCTTCGCCACGTCCCGTCGCATCTCGGTTGAAATCGCCTTCCAAAGTGGTTTGCCACTTGTCGCATTCACGTCCTCGTAATCCATCTTCGTCAAATACGCCAAAATCTCCTCGAGTTCGCCAATAAATGTCCTGTATTCCTCCTTCGTCTGAATCCCGCCTTTATCCATGTGCTTGCTGACCAATGTTGAAACCGAGTTCTTGTTAAATCGCCTAAGAGGTGTTGCTCGTCCCCATTTCCGAATGAGTTCCTTCTTCAAAAGTTCCCAATCCCGATTCTCGTGTCCTTCCATATTCTCAATACACTCACTAATCTTCTTGTCTTTGATCATGAAGGGTAACTGGAGAGCTACGTCCTGTCCGCCAGCTTTGTGCAAAGAAGCTATCTTCTCCACACGCTTGATGAATAATTCAACTTCTGATCCATCAAAGTCCAAATTCAACTTCCTTGTATCTAGAACTACACCCTTTTCTTCGTCAGAGAGCTTGATTTCGGATTTTGTCCTAGTCTGACTGGTTTCTGATGAAGTTACCGCCAGTCCTAGCAAGCTTTCTTCTCCCGCGCCAATAGTAGTTTCCATTCCGGCCATTCCCGTATACGGTGTTGAGGTCGCAAATCGTAATGATGATCCACGTGGTGGTGGAGTTTCTGGTACCGGTACATTCTGTGGTGCTTTGGATTGCTTCATCATTAACGTCATCATCTCCTTTATCTGTTGTATAGAATCTTCAAGTTCCGTCATCTTGGCTTGCTGTTTTAGCATCATTGCTGATTGCTCCATACTCTGTTCCGCCGAATTTGACATTTTTGACTTTTGATTTAATAATTTGCCAAATTGTTCTTCCAAAAATTTCCGCTCCCTTTCTCTAATCTCCTCGTCAATCCTGGACGTCTTGTTTGACTCCTTGGTATCTTTGCTCGAATCCTTTGTCTTACCAATCAAATTCTTCTTCTCGCCAATCGAATCCTTCTTCTCGCCAATCGAATCCTTCGTTTCGCCTATCAAATCCTTCTTCTCGCCAATCGAATCCTTTGTTTCGCCTATCGAATCCTTCTTCTCGCCAATTGAATCCTTCGTCTCGCCAATCAAATACTTCGCAACCTCAATCGTATCCTTCGTATCGCCAATCGAGCGCTCCGTATTACCGCCAAAATCTGCCTTCTTCCCGTTATCCACGATTGATTTGATGTTGATGGTTGATTCACTAGAAAAATGTGATTGATTCGAATGATCTTGCTGAAGGTAATCGGCCACTGTTGGGACACCAGATGTAGGACTCCTGGGACGGATAGACACGGTAAAGTATATGTATATCAAAAGATCCCTTGAGGGGGAAATAAATTGCAAGTAGGTTGAAAGGCTATTACAACTTACGGGTGGTTTGAAAGACCTGCCCCTCTAAATGTACTAAACAAATAACTAAGAGTCTTGTAATCAATATTTAATAATGTATGGCTGATTCCAAGATAGATCTTACTTTCGTAAAGTAATCTCTATCAGACCTAGATCACGTATCAATCTACTAATGAATCTGTTACAACTTCAGGTCAATAATGGAAACTGTGGTGCTGATGACTTGAGCACGAAACAGATGAGTTGTTATAGAGTTTGTTAATGATCTCTTCCTCGAACAATTTCTTGCTAAGGCACTTTAATCAAAAACTAGAGCTCTGGTACTAATACTACTACTACTTGTTATTTGTTAATTGTTAATGTACTACTACTTATATGATGACTACTACTACTAATATGCTTCAAATTCCGAACTCTTTGTTGGTTTCACGCTTACAATACTGTACTAATTCACTACTTATCACTAACTCACTCACTTACTAACTTATTCTTCAACTTGGGTGATCAAACTTACCGCAGTAGGCTGATGTACTAACTTCACTAACTAACTAACTATCACTAATTCTAACTCTTCACTTTACTGACACTCCGGAACACTTCCAGTAGCTCAGGATCAACTTACTGCTCTGCGAGACTTCTGTAGGCTGATGGGGAGAAGACACTTTCTGGTGGGGAGAGGTCCTTCTTTTATATTGAAGAGTGAGGGATTTCTGCTGCAGGGGACTCCTTGTGAGGGAATATTGCTGCAGGGGATCTCACCTGCACAGCCTCCAAACAAATAGCGCAGCTTATGCTGTGCTAGGAACACTTAACTCCAGACCTTGTCACATAATATGCATGCAAGGGAGCACACAAGCGCAGCATGATGTCATGCATTGCCAGGCAACCAAGCCATCTTCCAGAACCAAGCGCAGCATGATGTCATGTGTCGCCAGGTAACCAAGCCATCTTCCAGAACACTCTGCATAGGCAGTACCAGCCTGCCAGACCTGCTGTTATCTCCTTCCACCCAGGATTTGGGGGTCAAGGCCTCTCCTCACTGCTTCCTTCCTCCCTCCGCCTCAATATTTTTCCTCCCTTCACTTTCCACAATCCGTACCCTGTACCCTTACGTAAAACATAAAGTACCCTTATTACACACCGCTCCTCCGTTCCATTCCTGGTTGAGACATGTTCTCCCACTCCTCTCCACGTATATACTTCCGCTCCTCCGTTCCATTCCTGGTTGAGATATGATCTCCCACTCCACTCCTCGTATGCACACCGCTCCTTTGTTCCATTCCTGGTCAAGACATGTTCTCCCAATCCACTCATTGTATGTAATCCAGTCTGTATATACCACACCTCATCCATAATGATTGTTCCTTCTCTTGTAATGATTGTCACATGTATGTAACTATGCTATCCCAACACCTCTGCTGTATGCTTTTGGCATTGGAACAGGCACAGCACACCACAACGTGTGCAAAACCAGTGCTCCTCGTGGAGCCCACGTTTCCTCGCTGAGACACGTGGAGGCCTCGGCACATCCTCGGGATGCAGCCGTGGACCAATCCGTGGAGCCCACGGAATCCTGTGGACTGGCAGGTCCTGGTCTGACCTCCCGCAGTGGCCGCTTGTGGGCTCCCCGTGGAAAACTGGTGTCGGTCCACGTGGGTTTGTTTTAATTGTTTTGTGAAACCTTTAGGACATGTCAACATGTCTCTAAGGTTGACACAAAGTGAGAATTCAGCACAATTCAAAAAACCGTTATCTATCCGTGCGCAAGTGGAGGACTCGTTGTCCTCCAATGCTGTGATTGAGATTTCATTTCAATCCAAAAAGTCAAGTAATGACATAACCCAAAAAGTCATTGACATGATCAAAAAAGTCATCCAGCTGTGAAAAATGATCTTGTCTTTGCAATCTTACATGATTCACCAAGCAAGCTATATTTCAGGAAAAGATAACGAGCAACGTGTAGATGTAGAACAAGGAGACAAGCGTCGTGCAGAACAAGGAAACAAGCGAATAGAAAAAACAGGAAAGATTGGTAATGTGTAATCGATTAAGTGGATTCAAGGGCAACCCTTATACATATTTTGATTTTGGAGACAAGGAGTTGGAGGAGCGAAAGAACAGACCAAGTGTGGTAATCAGGTTGGGCGAACTTGGGGGGAAAGAGGCTGAGCTTCGTCGAACTCAGAAAAGAAAATCCCCCACCAAAATGGCCTTGTGATGCCCTTATCCTGCACACGCGGGCTGCTTCACTGTGTTATTAGTGGGACTCAAAGTAAAACTCAGGGTGCATGCAAGCCGTGTTACATATTGACTTGCACCCCGCCATTTTCTTTTTGGACTTTGAGTGCCCCATTCTGTCCAAACCTGCTATGCAAACATTGCCAGCCATCACCGAACAACCAAGTCGTTGCCCAAATACGCCTAACAATGCCTAGATCATCCGAGCGAGCCGATGTGGTAATTATTCCTGTGTTTCTATGCCAAAAATATAAAAATTTATTATTATCTTTCTAAATATTGAAGATAGGGTAAAAATAACATCAAAAATGGATTCCTGAGGTAAAATAACCCCTAGTCACTCACTACAACTACCCTCTTATCTCTACTAGTTCAGAAGTTACACTTATCTCAAGCTGTCACAGGAGCTTTTCTTTATTATTACTCTGACCATGTCTCATTTTGAATACTGGATGCATATTCCATATTGAATTCCTTTGTATCATATTGAATTCCTTTACTGGCTTATATTTCATATTGAATTCCTTTGTAGGTGCACATGAATTCCTTTGTAGTAGGACCTTGTAGGCTAGCCAAAATCCCTCAAGGCAGTGCTCTCACCAGCCAAATTCCCTCACCTGCATATACTAGACTAGCTAAATTCCCTCATTGGATTTTCAGGCCAGCTAAATTCCCTCACCTGCAGGTACCCTGGAGCTAAAATCCCTCACTTTTGTCTATATAAGGAGGCCTCTGCCTGCCAGTTGTACCTTTCAGGATCCCACCAGTGGACCAGATCATCTGAACCACCCTTACAATCACCACCCATTATATTACCAGTCACAGTCATATAACCACCCTTATTTTATAGCAATATATTCATAAAACTTTCATATCATCATCACCATACCAAGTGCCCAGTCCCCTGTTCCATTCCTGGTTGAAGCATAGTGCTCCCAGCGCCCAGCGCCTTGGTTCCAAATCACCTCTTTTTAACTTCATATACCCTTAACCTCAAGGACCTGTGTTCAAGCCTCAACCTCAACAACAATCATTGACACCTCTATCAACAACTTCATCAACAACAACATCATCATCAACAATCACCATCAACACCTTTAACCGTTATACGAATCATTCGACAGCTTCATCTCAAACTATCCTCTATCACAATATATAAACTGCCAAGCTGAGCTTGGTGGTCTTGTTGTTCTGATAGCATAGAAGGGCAGAGCTTGCAACTCCATCATCCCCTTCTCCATTCAGCAAAAGGGTTTCACAACCACTTTTGAGTCTTACACCGAAAGCATCCGAAATATGAGAAAAATACTTCGTCTTCATATCACTCAAGCTGCCTCAGAGACTAGATACAAAGAGAGCGATGAAGATTCATCTACCAGTGAAGACAGTGAAATTGAGGAGCTAGTCATGACACTCATATCAATCAAGAAAAAGCGATACTTAGCGGAAAGAGTTCGACTTGAACGAGCCCCAGACATCACCAAATATCTCTTCCGTCTCGACACTGGCCGGTTCAAGCAGGAATTCCGGATGTCTCAAGATTCCTTCTATCAGCTGCTAGATCTGATCAAAGACAACTCGGTTTTCCATAATAACTCCAACGTTCCCCAGCGACCTGTCCGAGATCAACTCATGGTAACCCTACGGCAAACGGGAATGTCGGGAAACGGGTCGTCTGTTGGGGTCCTCGCACGTTTTTTCAGGATTTTGGAGGGCACCGTCATCTTATACTGCTCACGTGTGGTTGAAGCAATCTTAGCTTTAGAAAGGTTGGTTTCTTGACTAATTGCTGATCTTAATCAATCTGATATGTGAAGTCTTTTTGGTTCTTTAGTACATATGTTGTTTGGCCAAACCACGAAGCACGAGAAGCAATTGCTTCTGATATAGCCGATTCAACTGGATTCAAACAATGTGTTGGCTTCATTGATGGAACTCTGCTTCCGTTGGATGAGAAGCCCTCCATTGATGCTCAAGATTACTACTCTTGAAAAGGATCATACGGCTTGGCAACCCTTGTTGTTTGTGATGCTGAAAAGCGAATCATCTACTACCTAACCGGATGGCCAGGATGCAGCCATGACACCCGACTCTGGGAAAATTGTGATCTAAATCTAGAAAAAAACCGGTTCTTTGCTCCTGTGCAGTATCTCATAGGTGACTCGGGATTTCCAACCGAGTCCAACCTTGTCCCAGCTTTCAAGAAACCACCCCATGGACCGATGCCTAGATTGAAGAAAAAATTCAATCAACATCTGGCCTCCCTGCAAGTATGCAACGAGCATTGCATAGGCATTCTCAAGGGACGATTTCAAAGCTTGCGAGGGATACGAATGGAGCTCACCTCTGTACAAACAATGAAGAGGATCACACAGTGGGTAAGTGCATGTGTGGTCCTCCACAATTTCCTACTAAGAGATGAATCTCCAGCTATCGATCATGATGCCATCAATCCGACATCACCTATTGATAATGATGATCTTCCAAGACGAGGGGCTAATAGTGCTGGAAACCAACTTCGAGAGCAGGTGTATCGGGGTGTTTTAAGCTACTTGGATGTATCTTAGTGCTATTTCCCTTTTTTCTTTTTTTTCTCCTCATCTGAACAACTTTTTGCTTGTTTTCCCTCGCTTCTCAGGAGCTGTTATTCTTGAAAAAAGGATGAAATGGAAGTGACTCTTCCATTGAGTGCGCTTAATTGCGAGTCAATCACACCAATTCTCATCTTAGTGTCAAGCAGAAATACTAGAGTGTTCATGCTATTTTCTCATAATCTAAAAGATAAAATTGAAACAATCATCATCTGACATGTAAGAATCACACTACAAACTATCTTCATCGGAGTCTGATTCATCCTCTTCAGAATCGGCCAGCATGTCAGGAATGGTAGGGAACTCTTCATCAACAAGCTGTTTGATCTCTTGATATTCAAGGCCAAGCTCTCTTAACTCCTTCATGTAGCTTACTTTTGCCTGTGTTGCTGCGGCTTGAGCCTTTGTCATTTCGGCCTGCCTCTTGGTTATGACTGATTTCATGTAGAAATCCTCCGGGTTTGTTTTCTTTCTTCCCTTTCCGTTTCTCTTGCTCAAGGGAGTGGTTGATTTCTTCTTCTTTTTCTTTTTCTTTTGAGTCGTTACTTGAGTAGTTGAGGCTGTAGCTGCAGGAGTCGGAGTTTGAGTGATTGTTTCCTGGCCAGCTTCATCGTCCGAGCAAGTTGCATCTCTACCACTGCTCGGGAGGTTTGATTGATTATTGACTGTAGAGCCACTGGTTGAGTCGTTGGCCTGGCCTTCTGCAGTTGCAATGGATGAACGAGTGTAAAGTGGTTCAGCCACCGACCTTGATCCCATAACTGGATCAAGAATGTCCCAGTATCGGCATAAGAAGTGGACTTGGTCTAGAAAGAGGGTAAACAATTAGCTCATCTTCTTAAACAACAATGAATCCAGATCGCACATAACTTCAACAGTCTTGACACCATTGACTCCATCACTTTTGAGAATCCCTGCCCCAGTGTTCCTCTTCCAATCACGGGCAGTGTTGTATGAGGACTGGAGATCGCTGATCTTTTGGGTTATGCCTAAGAATACCATTGAATCAGCTTGTAAGAATAAATTAATAAAATCATGATTGTTTGGTGCAGTTACTTGCCCTTTACATCGCAGTGGGTGATCCCACTTGTGATCATAATTTGAAGAATTTCAGAGCACAAAGATTTCTTAGTCTTTCCTTCTTCAAGATCACCCCTCCATCGTTGATAGTTTGACTCGGATGTTAGCCATTCCAGGACGATATCCATGCTGCTATCACCGCCATCAACACCGTCGCGGTCCCAGGGGATTGCCTTCTTCTTGGTAGCTTTCTTGGGCTTGAGGGGAGGGGTGATGGGAGATGCAGCTGCGGCTGATTGTACCATGCTGTTTGAAGGTGAGTAGTGAGTCCTGAAGCCGGATGAGACAAGGAAATGTGACTTGGCTTGTCGAGTCAAGCCAACATGCACCCATTTTTGGCCAGAGCCGCTTGCATAAATTCAAGCAAGCCGCCCCGCAAAATTTGACTTGCTAAGTCAACTTGCATGCGCGACCTGCGAACTTTGAAACCCCCTATTAATGGGGGGGTTCACAGGTGCTACTTGGCATGATGGACTAGATCGAACTTATCAAAGTCCCTCGCTTCGGAGGGCCTGGTGGCCTTGGCTGGCGTGGAACGCCACTCGCGCGAAGCGCGAGCCTCCGAAGGAGGGACTTAAGACAAACACGAACAGGCCCGCGTGTCACGGTTGGGCACTTTTGGTGTAACGCACATTGAGCTGGATGTACAGCATTTACATCACCAGCTATTGGCAATTTGAGCAGACAAGCTTTTGGTGCTTGGTGATGCCTCTCACCTCATCCAATTTTCAGAACTTCATCTTGAAAATTGGATGAGGTGGATCTTTTTTAAGTTGGTCAAATTGAGAAAATGTTCTCACATGGTAGGCAGTGAGATTGAAACTGGCTTATGTAAGCTCAGCCAATTTGCCATTGGGCAAATTTTCCTTTAAAATTTTTCAAATGTGTAGTTTTCATTTTTTCCCAAAAGTTTCTTGATAGAAGTCAAGACCTCCATGTTGGGCATCTTCACTCCATCTCAGCTTTCAAGAAATCCAAAAGCTGGATTTTCTATGATTTTTGGCGCAAAAAACAGCCAAAAAACTCAACTGTGACACCCAGTCGTGTTTGTTTTGGGCTCAAGCCTCTCCCGCACTTCGTGCGTTCGACGGAGAGGCTGTACAAGCTCGGGACTAGATGGACTGTGGTTGATAATGAGTACTGTAGTGTTTACTATGGTCCACCTCCAGGAAGATCCTTGGTTGGGCTCAAATCCGGTGAAAACGGGCACTGGTCTCAACATCCGCGGTGCCCGGTCTCGGTATGGGTGAAATCCGGCTCTTTTTTTTTTTTTTTTTTTGAGTGCAGATTTGATATGACATTGCGCACTATGCACATGCAATTTAAGACAATGTAAACTAGTGCTAGTGGGGTCAGTGGTTTCCCGGAACTGGGGGAGTCTACACAGCGGGCTCACCCCGATGCCACCTCGTCGGTGGAATTCATGTCGAATCGACATTGTTAACTGAATGGGAAATTTGATGTGAAATGACATCCACCCATGCCCTACATCATTTTTGCATCACAGCCCTTGTTGGCCAAGATGTTGTTGATGATGAGAATTGGACATCAAAAGCCAACTATCTCATCTCTCAAAATGAGGATGAGAAAGCAGACCAATCGTGCAGTAGGCTGTGGCTGGCAGCAAAAGACATCCAGGACAGGGATCGATCCCTTGCAACAGTACTAACAGCGGGCATTGTAGCCGATGCTGCTACAAGCCACTCGATAGACAAGAGGCGAGTTTTACAGGTTTAGTACCACCTCCTTGTCTTTTAGTTGGGTAGTCAATAATTTTTTTTTCTAAGTCCCCTCTTTCATCACAATTTTTTTTTTTTTTTCAACAATCAATTTTCTCGAATTTTCAGGGTAAAAAAACCCATTTGAGACACATTTGTGCTGTCTTGAAAAATAAAAAAATTTGACGTCGTTTACGACGTTATAGCAGGGAGTCGGGCAGAAGAACCGATCTGTGCCGCCCTGGTCAAGATGGGATGAGCAGCGGATCAGATTGGATCATTGGATCCAATGTGATTTCCACTGCGACATCAAAAGCAATGGGCTTGCTTGCTGACAGGAGAGCCGGTGTTGTTGTTTTTGACATCGGTGTACACGTGTTCATCACGCTTGCATCGTAAGCGTCGTTTTCGATGCTGTTGGCTATGTGGATACAACACTGATGTGGTTGTTAACATCGAAAAGGCTGGATCCGGTGTGATTTCCACCATCACGACAAATCCAACGTCACGGAATCAAAAAAGTGAGCCCGCTGTGTAGCGGATGATCTGAGGCCGGCTCCGAGGCAGTGAGGCACCGGTTCGGAACCTTATCTCGATATGGATATCTGTAACCTAACCGGGTGATAAACCCCGGGGCTGAGGGCACAAAGGGGCACAACTCAGTCAACACTTTCTTTAAAGGATGTATGATGCCTTTTTAGTAGTTCTTCTCTTGGCGCTGCAGGGTTCATACTTTTTTTGTGAGCCGACACTCATCTCTCCACGATCATCAAGGAAGCCTACATACATACATAAATATCATCTTTCTTCGACCCAACTTCTTGCAAAAGCATCACCAGTGCAGATTCATAATTCACCATCACCAGCTATCCCGGCCCGCCCCTGAATATCGACGGAAGCATTGGGACTGACAACTCCGGCCTCCTCTGGTCCACATTATTCCAGCGCGCTTTCACCAGATCAATCTCTCGTCGGCCCGATCGTGCAAATCAATCATACCCGGCCAGCACCACATCGATCAGGGTGCATTCCGAAGTGGTCCAGTCCGACTCCCAATTCGACGAAACCCCAGGCGATCTGAGTCAGTCTGATCGTAAATAGCTATCTAGCTGCACTGAAGATGATGCTCAGCATCCGATCATCCTCATCGTCCGACTCACCTCCACTCCATCCACTCCAGTCCGGCCAGCTTAGCCATCATCATCATCTCCCGCCACTCCATCGATCCCAGTCCGGTCGATCTGCTTCCAAGACCCCACCCATGCCCATCCACCCCACCGAGCATCCACCCCCTCGAACTATCTTCCAATGCAATCTTAATCAGCCACTCTTCATGCACTATCTGCCCAAGCCTGCTCACCATCGCTCGATCATCTCCCAGCCTCATCCCTCATCATCCATCCCCAAGCCACCTCCACCAAGCTTCCTCTCTACTCACTCATCCTCACTCACCGTTCTGCTGTTCGATCGACTCTCCGCCGACCATCGAGCAACCAAGCCGCACTTCAACAGCCCCAACTCAATCAATCTGGCTAGCCGCTCTCTGCTTCTCTACCTCCAGAAATTCATCATGATTCCCCAGCCAACTCAAGATCAGCTCCTGCTGCGTTCCTTCCTGGCCGATATTGCCAAGTCATGCTACTGGTCGAGCTTGATCCGACCCCTCATCTTCCTCGTCATCAGCTACCAACCCACCCTTCGTCCCTCCGATCGCCCTTTGCCCAAGCTCCTCAATCCGCCCAAGCTCCCCGAGTCATCCAGTCCTCCTGCTAAGGTATGCTACCTCTTGCCTTGATTGCCCCCCCCTCCCCCTCCCCAAACAGAAACCTACCAATCATTGACCACTTCTATTCTCTCCGTAATCACTTCGCCACCGATTCAGTTACCCCTACGCTTAGCCGCACCACCCGCTCCCAAGAGATTCCGAGCAGCCAGAGGTTTCAAGTGTTCACCCCTCGTCGATCCCGACCCATCTATCCTTCATCAGCACCAACCTTCGTCATTTCATCTCGCACGCTCCACCGCTTCTCGGACCATCCCCCAATCAGCCCTCTTCATCCCTCCGTCTCGCAAAGTCATCAGCCAACTCGAGATACACCGACTCTCAGCCCGAGCCCAGAGTCGAATGCAACGCTCCCCGTACTGTCCAGCCGAAGACAGTTTAGATGGAGATCAGCGTCACCAGCGCTACTATCTTGTCAACGCCTATCGTGAAAAACTCTTATTACTCTATGAACCGTCCGATACACCACTCCATCCACCCGTACGCCAGCAGTTCGAACTCGGTAGCGACGATGACGAGGATGAGCACGAGCACGGCTGCAATGACGATGATGATGGTTTAGAACCATTGGAAGACCTGCTCGATTGGGACTCCAGCACTCGTCAGAATTGAATCTTTTTCCTGGTCAATCAGATGGCCCTTCAATCAGCCAGACTATCAATCTCGCCTTGCTTCAGCCCCAAGTTTCTCCTCAACCTGCCCTCTTTGGATCGTTCGAGTACCTCATCAAAGCCGCATCAGTCAGTAAGCTGGCAGAACTGATTATCAATCTGTCCGCCTCCCTGGCAAGTATTTGCTACAACCAATTGGCTAAGCTCTTGGTTTTTGGCCTGTTATAGGGATTCGCCGTCTGATTGCTGTCATTTCATTGCTCGCAGGAACTAGCTCTTGTTCCCGGACGACAGCTTATTCGAGGTTTTCTTCTAAATATTTCCACATTTTACTTCATTATCAGTAGTAGTTTTTCATCCTCTCTTCTTTGTTTTTATCTTGCGTCCCCATCCCTCAAAAGTACACAGTCATCCCCCATTTTTTTTCCTTTTTTTCGCTATTGCTATTCGAGTTTCTGCAATCCGTGATTGTGTCTTTTACCATTATTATATCTTTATTATTCACGCTACTACGATTCAGGCTGCGCTGCAACTTATTCATTATGATTCTACTTTGACGCTTGGGTGAATGTTGAATACACGATTTTATTTGTAATCATTATTAATCATGACCTCTGATGTCCTGCAACAATAGTCCCATACAAACATGTCTGGCTATGGACACATCATCTTTGGCAAGTTCCACAAACCAGCAAAGAAATATTGGAGATCTGAAACAAGAAATGAACGGATTCATTTTTATGTTGAATTTATAGCAGGGTGACAATAAACTTCAGAGAATGGAGACTGGGCCATGATGAAAGAGATAGAAATAAGGTCTTTTCAAGTATCACAGTTGATGGTATGAAAAATTACCTTTTCCTTCTTATATATGTATAATTTATGATCATATTCAAAAATTACAAATTTATTTATTGGATAAGTAGTATTATTGACTTGGATAAGTAGTATTATTTATTGGATAAGCTGTATTATTTATTGGATGAGTAGTACTATAAACAAAGTACTTGGCTTGATTGTGTATCATCAATTCTTATCTATGTTTCTCAAAATTTAGGTTCATATTGATTTGGTTATCTGATAAAACTTGAATTATCTTTCCTTGGTTTCAGTATCATTCTGACACTAAGTTTGAGTATTTCACTTCTTTAGATATGTAAGAAGTACTTCTAGTTCTAGATTTCTTGCCTTGGTTCTATGAGCATGGCTAATTCTCCTGGTATGGTCAACAAATACTATTTTAAAATGGAGTTTTAACCTCATACAGGTGGGCAAAATACAAGTTTTCTCCACTGGGAGATTCTATCAAATTCATCAAGTGTTTTGATGATAGAGATTTCTGTTAATCAATCATGAATGGTTTTTGATTTTTATCAATTGGTTTAATTTTGGGTTTCCAAGTTAGGACAAGGGCAGAATGTCAATCATATTTCTTTGTGCCTTATTCATCTTGGGTGAGAAATCATACACACTAAAAATGGATTCCTGGCTATGTCCTATCATTGTATCACCAATCAATCTTTGTTCAAAGCCACTGACAGCACAGTCATACACTCAATCAGGTATGAGGATAGATTGGATAAAGGCTCTGGGTGTGTTGTATTTTGAATCTAAGTCATACAGTACTGAGGTCACTGACCACTTGGACTAATTCAGTAGTCAAGAACTTTCTTCTACTTCATTGGTCATTTTGTAGAAATCTCAACAAGATGGGTTTAAATTCATAAGTTGACTCCAAATTACATCCAATGAAGCCAAATAAGAGATTTTTAATTTTCAAAGTGAATTTTTTTCTTCAGGTGGTACATTTATCCTCTCCAGAGATATGAAAGCCTTTGGTAGTTTATGAAGGCAAGTGTGGGAGGTGCTGCCAAATATCTTGCTAGCAGTGATAAAATACACCTTGTGCTCAAGACCAAAATAATGATCTGTTTCATTTCTCCATTGGATGATGTGTGATATGTATCTCATGATCCTTAATCCCTTGTGAAAATAGAAATTCCTATTTGACACTCTGGTATCCATTTAAATTATGGAACAGTTCATAAACAAAAACAAAAATGATTAGTTCAAGGCCACTGAATTTATTCTGTAAAGAACTGCTATTGCTAAGGAAGGTTCTGATGCAGAGTGAGTGACCTCTCTTTCGACCATCATGCAATTACATGGCACATAGGAATTGCTCCAGTCTAAACCAACTCTACAGATACACAAGATGACTTTATTCCAAAGCTTCTTGGGGAACTAAGTCTAGTCTATCTTACCTCTACATTCACCGGAATAAAGAACCCTTCTGAATATGTTTTCTAAGGACAATACCAAATAAACACTTGCAACTCTCGTTGTATAGAACTACAGGTCATGAAAGAAGTGTCTTTCGTGTGGTTCTGATATGGTTTAAACCCTGATTTTCAAACCCATTAGCTACCTGGCAGTGGCAGCGATGATGGTGAGTTCGATTCCAGCCTTCAAGTTGTTTGTAACTCTGTGCAAATCAGACATTCTCAGCGTGCATCAAACATTAGCAGTGATTTAGGCTTTGTATGCATGACCGTTGCATCCCCCGCCACGGCTAGTAACGCGAGCTTCCATGATCAGCTCATGGGATCCGCAAACAAACGGGAGTGATGAGCAAGAAGGGCTTTGCAGAGGAATGTATGTCGTATCCGTAATCAGGTTGGATTAGATAGGTGACAAATGGCAGCGAGCTTAGTGAGGCTGAGTGAACGAGATCCGCATTTCACCCAGCAGTGATCCTTAGAGATCGATCTAACTGATCAATTCGCGAAGATTCTGCTTCACCAGCCGTCAATTTGAGCACAATGTTTGCCTGGCGAGAGATACGACTGACTGGTGCTTAGTGCTTAGACGGCCGTCGCCGCGGCGAGCGTTAAACCTGATGAATGGCGATATCAGAGTGTTTAGGCAGAACTATAGTAGAATCAGCTGCACCTTGTACAAAAATGCTGATGGGTCCATAGGAATCAGATTATGCAACACACCAAATTGCACTTGAGCAGAGTTGCGAAAGTTGAGAGCAGTGGTTAAGATGGGAAGGCCTAGCATCTGCCGCTCGAAAAGCTTTGAAACAAGATTCCGTCGATCCCCCTATGTACCACCACCTTCCGGCTCCCCCCTCCCCCTCCCCCTTCCCCCCTTCAAGCCTTGCATCCAACTTTAAAAAATTGAGACAAGTACGGGCGTCACTATTATAAAAAAAGGTGTCGGCTTAATTAGCTCACAACTGTACCAGACCAAGCCCCCCCCCAGAAAGTCTAAATTTCACTGAAACACCTCCAAAGTCCAGTTAGTGTGCCTTGTCGCCAGTTTCTGTTAGGCAAACTGCCGATGTCCTTGTATCACCCAAATGAACTATGCAGCGAGTGATCAATCTCCATATGTAGAATTTTTCGGTTTACCTTCCACTCCCACCACGTGCGTCGGTCTAGCTAGGATTAAGATAACGTGGATTGGTATCCACGTATTTATTTATCAAGAAAATTGTTCAACACGGCACCTGGGTGCCAATGGATACATAATACCTTCCTCTCTCTTCCCAATCATGAATCAAATTAACGCTGTTTGTTTAAATTCATAAACTTATAAATGTACAACCATAAATTCACCTTATGTAACACCTCCGCTTCTATATATGTAGACCCCGTCGATGTTGGACTTTTGGGTCAATAGCTGTTACACATTGCTCGTTTAAAGTTGGAGCTGAGCTGTCCGCAGTGTCATTTGGTTTGGGTTGATTTGACCCTCATCCGCCACTGGGATGACTTGTTTAGAATTAAGCTTACATTGTAATGTTGGACTTTTTTTTCATAAGGTGAAGTGCGCAATAATTAGTGATATCATAAGCAGACTATCCAGAAACTCATGCTCCGGCAGCAAGACATAAATGCGTGTACCTTAAATATACATAGTAGCAGTACATAATTGAGATGCAGATCATCCAGCTCTCCTCAACTTATTTTTTCTTTCGTCACAGCAAGAGCCAGCTGTCCCGGGCAGTATGTATTGTCTAGACTCCAAGCACAGAGTTTCGTTGGGTTAAGACCTTGGGTTGACTCTGCTCTGGCCGGCCCCGTTTGTCCTTCCCTCTGGATTACCTTTGAATGTATGATCTCGATTGTTTCCTTGAATTTTGTATTAATGTATTCAGGCAGAAAACCAAGCAGCTAGATGCTATGTATGCAGATCCCAGATTATGTAAATAGGTGTTGTGTATATATCCACACCCCGATAAGGGTCCATATCTTCTTCTGTATGTATCATATCTATAAAATCTTGGATGACGGAGTGTTTGCCTGAAGTCTGTTGGTTTTATGTATCAAATCAAAGCAATCCTATTGGTTGGTTGATCGACGGCCCATAAAACTTCACCATGACTTGGGGCTCCTCATCAGTTTTTGTTTGACAAACGTGATGCATGAAATTTAAGAAATATGTATCAGGTGGGGCTACCATTAAGCCTCCAGGTCGTGAGCGCAGTGCTTGTCTGTGTGCTGTGCGCTGTAATCTGCATCATGAGATGATGAAGGCTCTGCCCTCGGGATGTCTGGTGATACCTCGGTGACAGGTGCCTGTATCTATGGATTTATGATGAGACTCGCTCGCAGTTTGAGTTTCTTCTACATACATATTAAATTGTGCATGGTGGTGTGGATTTGATGAAAACTCTGTTTGTTAGGGACTTGAATCAGATTAAACTAAATTAAATTAGGCTTATGTGTGCCTAATTGTATGTATGTATTGATTAGATGTATAAATTGATACATGCAATCAAATTTTAAATGTCCATCATTTCGCGATTTTAACTTTCAGGATGATCATCCCGATTCTCCTTCGAACTGGAAAACGTCGATCTCGCTTCGCAGGTTCTGTATTCTCTCTCGATGGCCTCTTGCCGTGCAGGCCTCGGCCTCAGATCATTTTTTATGGACATGCTTATTTATTTATTTATTTGAAGGAATGCTGGCGTTCCAAGTCATGCACTCCTACCTGCCTATATCAACATCCTGTTTCACCATTGCACTTGGTGACCCATAGCTGCTCGGTCACTCAGCTTGAATCCGGTGCTTTCTCTTAAGTTCCTCTCGATTTCCCCCTTCATCATCTTGATTCACTTCGCAGGTACATCATACCTGTTCTCAACCAACGCAGGATTAATCCTCTGGTAGATAGATATAGCCTACCCTAGACATCATTCCCTTATATTATTTGTTCCTACCCTTGACTTTTGGCTCGAGTACTACATAGTCACGCCATTCTAGAGATGACCACAGGCCAGAAGATAGTGGTGACGTGACTATAGTCGGAATCATTTCATTAACAAATTAACAAATATTAGATTGAATAACCATTCTTCGCGAATCGCGTTGGCTCGCGACACATGTCAAAAGTATAAAGCCTGGCCCTTCCTGCATCCATCCACGCTCACGACTCCAATAGCACTAGATCAACTCAGCCCATTTTGCGGTTACTCCTTTACCTTCCACTCTCGGTCAGGGTAGGTCTGCTTTTCGTTTGGTCCGAGTCCTCCTTCGGCTATCTCCTTTCTAGTTTTATTTCTTGGTAGAAGAATATGCGTCTTGGAAGGTTGGATCTCGTTTCCAGATTGGAATTAAAAAAAAAACGACAATTAAAGAGATTGTATGTAACTTCTGGCCAGTGTGGATGTCGATGATGCCCCTGCTACTACTGGCCTGGATTGCTCAAGTCCACCTTCTCTCCACCGCGAAACTCGATCGGTGGTTTGATCTGGTTTGATGATGATGATATAATCGTGGATATGCATGTCTTCTCTTTCTCTCTGAGTATCTATCTCATAATCTGATATGTTGTATCATGATTACAAATATTCAAGACGATGATATGGTGACGATGGTTGATGATGAGATAAATCTGTATTATCCTCAGTCTCAGACAAGGTCTTGCTGGCTACCAAGGTTATGTAGGCACTCAAATCGATCGGCCGTCGAGAGTCGAGACTTCATATGATTATTATTATTAGCTGTATTCCATTCTCCACCTGCCTTCGGAGTTTGTCTTGAGGGAAGAGTTTAAACAGCTCTCTTCGAGTTTGACTCTTCTCCAGCAAACAGAAACTCCCGTTTATCGCTTGAGCTATTTTCCAGATACTCTGCTGGTATCTTCCCGAGTTTGACTGCAATCCTATAGTATCACTATCAATTCTCTTCAACTTCGATCACAACTTGACATATTTTTATTATTGTTTTGTTATCCTGCTTGTTTACAATAAATATGTATGGCGCTCACGTAAACTGATTGATGCCTCCTCGGATCCTTCCATTTGATCTCATCCAGATCTTCAACTTACCCAAGCCCAGTACCCAGACTTGCACCAAAACGCGGAAAAATTGTTGGCTGGACAGTCCAAAGCTATTGCTTTCCCTCGATCATTTGTCCCATCTGAATAACGACTCGCCCAGTCTCATCCAACTCGGATAAGAACCTTCTTTCTCTCTCGTCGGACTGGCTACCCAAGAACCTGATCTATTAAGAGGTACTTCTGAATCAGTTCGACAAGTATCGCTTCCATCATGTAGCTAACTGAGCCTACCTCGAATTCTCTTGCCTTCTTGGAATACCATTTCTGCTCTATCCGTTGATCTCCAGTGCTCTTTCTCATCATTATTATTCTTACCTTCTAAGCGCATCCCGGATCACTCGGTTCGATAAGCAGACAGCAAGAAGCTTGGCAAATACCCTCTTGATCAAGTGGTGTGTGAGTTCCTCTTCTCTCAGAGTTGGGTCACCACAGAATCTGATAGATACTGACTGTCATCTGCCCCTTATCATGTTAAGGAAAGAAGACAAAACCTCGCAAGCAGGACATGCTGCCGCCTATAGCCGGTTCAGATACTCCTTCACCTCCCTCTGCCGGACCCAGCCCTATGGCATCTCAATCTCTCTCCGCTACCAAGAACTTGAGCCGTCACTCCTTACGCTCCCTCGCCCCGCTGCTCAATGACTTGCCTCCGCCATCATTCTCGACTGAACCTTCCTCTCGTCGTCCAGCTCATCCTGAGCAAGCTTCCTCGCAAGCTAAAAATTCAAACGTGCCCATCCATCTCAACCTCACCTACTCCCAGCCCCCTACCTCTCCTCCTACCCTTAAACCTACCCATCAACCGCATCAGCAAAGACCTATGATCAAGACATCCTCTCTTGACTCTTCCTCTGGTCAATCTGAAAGTCCCCCCACTCCCTCCGGTCATCATTTGCATTCAATGTCTCCCTCTTCCTACCATGCCTATCGCCCAGAATGGACCTCTGTTTCTTCACCCATCCTAGCCTCTTCCTTCGACCATCCTGACTACCAAGCCGCCCCGCCATCTAAGCGGCACCGCCAATTACTCAATCCTGAACTACGCTCACCCTTTCGAATCGATCCACAGGATCACACCGACACTCACCAGCATCCAGCCTCAAATCCTCTCCTCATCACAAATTCAACCTCGGACCCTCAAACTCACCACCCACTCAAGCCTCATAGCGGTTCATGCTCGCCATCTTCTCGCGAGGCTGATGAATCGTCTAATCTTCAGCGTCCTAATGACCACGTGCTTCGGCCTCACACTTATTCCCATTTAGTCACGCTTCCTCATCCAATCCTCTTGGATGAGGATCGAAGCCTATGCTCGCGTCCACTCAAAAACACTAGTTTAGTCACGCCTTCTTCTTCTTCTTTTTTTTTTTACCTGTTTTCCGTACAAGAAAACGAATTCTCCCAGTTAGCTAATTCTCCCCCCTCCCCATGGTTTTGATCAAACAAATAGAACGTGCCGCTCAAAATCGAGCTGCGCAAAGGGCCTTTCGAGAGAGAAAGGATCGCTATGTGAGGGAATTGGAGGCACGCTCGGTCCAACTCGAAGAATATATGGTACGATACGGCCTGTTGGAGGAGCGCGAGCGTAACATAGCAGCGCGTGAGGCAGAATTAATCAATACCGCATCTCAATCTGCCAAGGTAGATGATAACGAAAATATGAATCGTAAACCGACCACGAGGGATGAAGAAAAGCTAAATCACATCAATCGATTGGAACATCAGCTAGAAAGTTCACGCGAAGAAATTGCCAGGCTGAGGGCAGAGTTGATGAAATTTCATCACGAGGAGATAGATCAAAATAGGAGGAGAGTTATGGATTGGGAAAGGGGTGCCGAAGATGTCTCCCTCCCTCGAACTGGCTCTGCATCAGACGCTGATACAGATGCCCAAACTCCATGTTCCTCCGGTTCAGCATCTGCCGTGAGTGCTTCCAAGAAGACAACTGGGCCGCATTATCAACGATCCTGGTCGCGAGACAATCAGAACACCCGAAAGAATGGCGGGACCACCGAACCGACTGGGAGGGTTAGCATGCGTTTTGCTCAGAAGGCGCACGGGAATCGGAGACCGGTACTATCGATCACTACTGAGAGCCAGAACGAACCCATTCTGACTCAGGAATACTCAAGAAACGGATGGTCTGATGAGGGTGAATCGCCAGATTCACTTTCAAGATCTCATCACCAGACATATTGTGCTCGACCTGAGATCGCCTGCAACCAATTCGAGCAAATCCACCATCACCGCCAGCAACCTTTCGCCTCGCAGTGCACATCTGAAAACCACAATCAAGCAAGTACTACGAAGAGTCATCTGATTCCGCTCCGTAGAGTCAACAAGCTAGACGGCAAAGACCAATGCGTCAGATTGCCAGGCATTCAATGCCAACCGACGCACGTGTGGAAAGATGAAAAAAGGTCCCAATGAAGGAAGACAGGCGAAGTGATCATCAGTGCATATCTTGGACCTAAAACTTATAGTGTTTTCCGTTTTCCAATCTATATACGTTCTTGCAATCATATTTTCTGATGTGTTAAAGTTTCTTGTTTAAATTTTTTTCCGGAAGTAGCTTTTGTTTTTCTCTCCCTTAAGGTCCCCTTTCTCAGTATACAGACATGTATATACGTATGTCAAATTAAAGTAAAACCTTCGGCTCGATTCTTTCAAATTATACCTAGCCAAGTCTTTCATGTCTGTCTTTGTGTGTGTGTTTTTTCTTTTTACTATTAGGTATGAGTCCACTGCGCATGTGTTTAAATCTAGTTGACAAATGTGTGGTATCATTGATATAATAGCTTAGTAATTCTATCGTCATTATGCCATGTTGATCTCGGGTTTTTGTTTGTCTCTTCTGATCGGATTGAATGTTTCTGGATGTTTTTGTTTGTGCCTGCGGGTCGGTCAAATATCCATATATCTGCCATGAACATATGATGCGTTTACGTCTGGCAAAGAGTCTATGTATGTACCCTGGTAGAACTCAAGATTATAGTCCTGGCTTGCCGAATGCAGAACCAGCCCGACCGGTTGGGCGGTCCGCCAATGTCTTGCTATGGCGTTGGCTAGATTTTGTTTTATGTGCCTAGATTTCCAATATTCCCACAAGCTTCTGTCGTGCTCCGCAAAGCTGATGATACACTTACAACACAAAGTCTGCTTGGGAAGTATTTTGGTCTGACTTTTTGAGAGGATTCTGTAATGTTTTGCTAGAGGATATAGCTGGGACTGAAAGAAATGACTAACGGAAGTCAAGTTGGTATAACCACGGAAGAGATCGAGTCAAAGTATTACGGCTTGCTAGTTAACGTGACAGCATCAAAGGTAGGCTGCTACTCAGAAAAGGTAAATTTCTAATCAATCATTTCGTTGTGATAAATTGTATCATTGGGGTTGCAAAGTGATTTCAAAGACACTCTGGGGCCCCGTTGCAATTTTCAGGAAACCAAAGGTGAAACTGTCTCTGTCTGCCTGTCTACAAAGTTACATATCGAGTTAACATCGGACAACTTTGTTCAAAGAATTGATAAAAAATCTACAATAAATATGATGGTTTGTTCCACAGAATTTCCGTATCTATCTCATAGGGTAATCTATCCCATGAATACTTAGGATTTTGAGGTCAAGTGTGTAGGATATTCAACCGATCCTAAGCCCAAGGAAGAACCCGACGGTGAAAGTACTTCGATACTGGAAATCGCTCGTCAAGAAGTCCAGAAACCTGGCGACGATCGACTTGGTCGGCGGCTCCTTGGCCGACCAGAACTTGGACTCGTATCGGTTAGCCCACGTCTTCCAATTGATTTTGATCAATGAACTTGAATGTAAATACTGTTCAAGTTTTTTTATTTTTATTTTTTTCCGGTGAGTAATTGTAGAACACACATCACGCAAGAATTCAAAAAAAAACAGTGATTCAGTCTTAATTATCGAGAATTGAAAATTGATATAGAGAGAGAAGACGTACTTGAAGCAGAACGAATCCACCGCCGAACAAGAAAGCCAAGAAATTGAGACCTTTCTTAACGAACACGCCAGCACAGATGCCGGTAAGAGTACCGAAGGAGAGTTTGCGGACGCTCAAGAGACTTGAAAATTCTTCTGGCTCGAGCTCGATTGGCTGTTGCGGTTGATTATCAAATTTGGGGGGAGGAAGCGCCGCATCGAGTTGGATCGCAGGTTTCGTGAGTTGGTATCCGGTGATCGCTAGGAGTATGCCGACTGAGGTCTTGGTCCTTGAGAATGATTGTCTTGGGATTGAGGCTCGAGTTGTTGGGTAACTCTTCAAGTCATTCTGGAATCTAAGCTTGTTACTTTGAAGAAATCGATTGCAGTTCGAGTCTGACCAGACTGGCTGTCTAGATACTCTTGAGATGTTGGTGATCGAGCTTCTGGTGAGTTTTGGTGTTTGGGTGATCAAGTGAGATCGGAGTGAGCATATCTGAGGAGCTATGATGGGAAAAGCCAGCATGATGGTATTCAGCAAGAGTATGTAGTAGGTTGCGGTTAAAAGAAAAGTCACCCCTCTCTTCTGAGCTCCAAGTCTCCCTCCCGGAGTCCCAACCCAACAATCAAGCAAATTAGGAAATAGTCTATGCACCTCAGGCTCAGCTGGTCACCCTTCATACCAGTGGATCGCAGAACTCCAACGAATCTCGTTATGGTCTATTCGACGTCATCAAATCTTTCTAGATGCAGTGGTCTAGAAGGTGGTGGAACCAGTTGCGGTTAACAACCTCCCCAGAGCATACATTTGAACCATCGATAACCCCGAGCTTAACAAAGCCTCTCCAAGGAGGCGCGAAGCGTCTCCGAAGGAGAGGCTTACCTCAAATGTCGCACTGTCGGGTTGACAGATACAAATTTTTCATGCAAAAAACCCCCATTTTTACTTTTATTATTTGTTTAACACTCAAGCATGCAGATTAAAAAAAAACTGAACATGCCATATTGTAGCCTTGCATCTCAGCTTCCTTCTCATATTTTTTAGTTCCATGTCCCCCCAGAAATACCACTGATGCCCGCTTGTTCTTCGGTGAGCTTCACATATTGGCGAAGTCACAAACATTTCATATTATTCTAGCTTTCGGATACCCGATCAACGGATTCTAGAGCATCTCACGGGCTTTCCACCCAATGCATAGTATCCGTTGCTCAATACAAATAATTTGTATTGGCTTCGATAAGCTCTCTCAGTGATTCACTGATGAGGTTTTGATGATGAGGCAAGTCGAGTCACCGGTGATTAGCTAGATGAGACCTGAAGGCAACACACAACGCAAGACAAAGACAAAAGATGATTAAACCAAAGAAGAGTATACCGGTATCAGTCCACCGGAAATTAGCTACGGGGGGCACAACTGTCCTGAAGAAACTCCTTGAGAAGAACGACGAAGCGCTCAAGACCGAAATTGCGAGCCGGGCCAAGACTTTTTACAATGGAGAAGATGCGAAGCTTCTTCAAGTGAAGACGGTTGCAAGCCTGGCTCGAGGAAAAAACACGTTTCTGCTTGCCGGCACCGGATTTGGAAAATCTAGGATTCCGGAAATGTATCACATGATCCTGCCGCCCAAATCCAAGTCGGTTATACTAGTACTAAACCCACTCGATGCCTTAGGCGATAACCAGGTCGAAGAGAAGAAGGGGAAGTTTACTGCAATCAATCTTACCAAGATGACGTTTACCCCAGTGGTGGCAAAAGAGATTATGGAAGGAGTGTACAACTTTGTGTACCTCAGCCCGGAGATTTTTCTTAACAGTAAACTATGGGACTCGGTCTATTTCAGCTCTGAATTTCAAAAGCGACTTGGCCTCGTTGTTGTCGATGAGGCCCATATGATTTACATATGGGGCCTTGTTGAGAGCTCTAACGGTACGAAGAAATATTCAATACTGGTCAGACATCAAGACATCGGTATCTTTCGGCCGTCTTACGGGGACCTTGCACGGCATCTACAGTGTCGAAATAATGTTCCTATCCTACTTTTATCTGCGACTTGCCGGCCTATAGCTGTAGATTCAATTTTAAAGAGTCTGAAGTTGACTATGAATCTGATTACCATGATCCATGGAGAGTTGACGCGGTCAGAAATTCGTATCATCCGTATCAACATGACGAGCTCCTTGAAATCAAACTTGGACTTGTTGAATGTTTTCCCCTCGGCAGAACAGACAGCAAGTGATCATCTGGTCCCAACACTTATCTATAGCGGGACACGAGCACGTACCCTCACCGTCTTGGAGGTACTGGACATTGCTCGCGGGACTCCTCGGGGCTGCCGTAATGCAAAGAATATGTTAGCCAGGCGGTTTCATTCAACCACAGGAGATAAAGACAAATCAGATTGTATTCAAGATTTTTCAGAAGGACGCTTCCCTATCATATCGGCTACAATGGCGTTGGGATTAGGTCAAAATTGGAAGCGGGTCAGGAGCGTCATTCACATGGGGAGGGGGGATCCAGCAAACATCTGTCAGATGATAGGAAGGTTCGCTCCCTGCTTGGCTTGTTAGAATCCTTTTTTGTAATTGTTTTTAATCCATTATTTTGAATGCAGGTGTGGGAGGGATGGAAAAGGCGGTTTGGCCATCCTGTTTGTCGAGTCGAATCGCAAAGGAGGAAAGAACTGCATTGACGATTTTCACAATGTTGGTGATCAGCAATCCGACCAGGATCGTATGGACGCTCTGGCCGTGACGCCTGTGTGTCTTCGAGTGGCCTTGTATGACATGGACAACAAACATGGGTACATCCCGCTTTCCAAAGAAGATCCAAATTATATCAAAGAAGTTCAACGACAGGAGGATAAAGGTCTTCCAAAGTGCCGATGCTCAAACTGCATGGTTGAGAAAGGTGTCACTCTCTCAAAGAATTTAAGAAATCTCAACCGCGACAACTTCGATGATGCCCTCATGGATGCTGTGCAGTTTCCAGAAAGTGTAAATGTACCTAAACCAAAAAATTCTCGGTCTGCTGTAAAGGAATCTTTGATCGACAATGCGGAGCTTGCTGCCACTTTCAAAGCTCATCTCATGGGGACATTCACTGATTTCTATGAGCAACGCATGTCTACTTCTGCCCGATTTGTGGCAGCTGAATTATTCCAGGACCATCACGCTCTAGCTGTAGTGCACAACTTACCTAATATTTTAAACACAGATGACTTGAATGATATAATTGGTGGAGAAACGGTCTCGGGACAATTGGAGCTATTGTGGAATGTGATTACAAACTTTAGGTCTGATCCGTTGTATCATGAACACATGGAAAACCAAAAGAAATCAAGACTAGAGGCTGAAGAACTGAAGAAACAGAAAAAAAGAGAATACGGCGTTCGATATCGAGCAAACAAACGAGCACGACTTGCTGCTGAAAACCAACAACAAGGACATGAGATCCAGCAGCTTCTGGCAGGCGGTTCACATGGAGATATTCAAAACATACCGAGTGCTGTCCAATTGGGTGCTACTGTAGAATTACACCAGATGAATGCCGAGATGGAAACAAACGAAGCCGATGAGATAAGGAAAAGAAAGAAGCGAGAATACGCAGCGCGATACCGAGCAAACAAAAGGGCTCGTCTTCTGGCAGAGAAGGAAGCAGCCCGATTCAATGAAACAGCCGAAGATCAATCCACAAAATGACACCTATCGACTTTGAGCGACCTCAATGATTGAAACCTATCGACTTTCAGGGACCTCGATTGGTCGTTTACATCTCAAATGGGGATGATTCTCGGTCCTCATTTTCAGCTGTTTCGAAATCGATGTTTCTCGGATCTTCTTGTACAAGTTCTATACTCTTGTCAGATTCACCAGCGTTGGTTTCCCACATGAAATGCATCTTGAACCGATTCAATTTAGGATCCTTCCGACTGATCTCATCTTGCAATCTGCCAAGTCCCAAGTGAAGTGTGTCTTCGCAATCAGGAACAATGTGAGTTGATGAATCTAGTGGGAATTGATCAAGTATGTCGTTGTTCCGTGCCATGCGCAAGAAATTCTCGAGTGACAACACGGTAATGATGTTTTTGTGAGACTGGTGAATCAGATGTGTGCCTTTCTCCTTTTTAAGACTGAGATACATCGATCTTAGCTGTAAATTTACAGACCAGAGGAGTCAGGGATTCATACTTGTTCTTTGCAGGTCATTGAGGTGGTGGATTACTGACCATTGTCATATTCAATGAGAATAAGTCTTGAAGCGTTGAGATTTGAGTACCAACTCCAGATCGATTATAAAGGAATTTGAGCATATAATTTTGACATTCGAGATAGTAGTCTTTGGCGACAAAATGGTTAGGTCTGCCACTAGGGGAGATGAGAAGATTGTGGCGAATGTATTTACTAAGTGAAGGAGGGAGTATGTGAGTCAAGAGAAGGACCATGCGGGGGAGATACGATCGATAGTTGACAAGGCCAGTAAGCGCTTGAGACATTATGCTCCATATCTTCCACATATTCATCAAGCGACCGATGTCTCCTGCCTTCATGGCACGATTGGCTTCTACTATGGTGGCAAAATCGTGTAAGCGAATTAGAATTGAATGCAATTTTGGTGACTCCGCTTTTGAAACATTCCTCCGGGCTTGAGGGGATAGAAATTGACTGTAGCACTCGTCTATAATGTCATTCCACTCATCGGTAGGTATTCGGTGGACATCTCCATTCACTGGTTCGTTTTCAGTCTGCATAATGACTCTACAAATAGTTATTTTAGAATAATCCATTGCATCAAGATGTAAGACCAATTCACATACCTGAGACAATAAAATATGGTCGCCTCGTGTGCCTTTTCGATGCTCTTCATCATTAATGTAAAGTCCTTCTTGGACGCTGCCTTATCAGATGGTATGCCAAGCGCGTGCCAGTACTGCCAGGTCCCCAGATCGTTTGTCTTGCTTGGATCTCCAAAATGGGAAGTGAGGATATTCTGTGAGATATTCCATAAGGTGTGTGACGAGCCAAGCTGCATAGTAATATTGAGTAAAGCATGATCGGCGTACGAGCTGGGTGATCGAAGAGCTCGAAGTGAGTTAATATTTTGACATGTCCCCAAGTCACCATCCATGATTTGCAGACGTGAGCAGAATTCATCAGCTGTGAGACCCAATTGTTGGATTATTGACCCCAAAACTTGCCCAACCCCATCAGCTGAATTATCGGATGCATCCATGAGTTTCAACATATCGATATCCGGTGGTGAACAGTCAATCAAATCAATTTCTGGTGGGTTTGAGGGGATTGCTGACTTGTTGTTTATTGGTGTAGCAATATATTGGCGCATTACACGAGAAATTTGGCTCTTCATTACTAATTCAAAATGGTTGTCTTCCTCCGCGGTCGGTAGAAACATACTAGGTACAATCTTTAAGGTCGGTATTTCACTAAGAGCACGATTGTAGGCCTCCAAAGTCAATTGTGAATGATCCAGAGATGCAAGAAGGGACGGATTGGGCTTGTGGATGTATCCCCATGTGCCGTGGAACATCATTGACCGGTGGCCAACACCATGAGTGTGAACACGCTGCTCAATGTCTAGATTGTCGATACAGATGCTGGGACTGATAATAGGGTTGTTTTTGATTGAAGATGACGTCCGTAAACCCCGTCCTGCGCGAGCCGACGAGGATATGAGAGCTCTGACAGCAGTTTGGCGAGAAGAGGTTAAGCCGATGTGATGCAGGTAATCGTTGACAGCCTCTGAGACGTTTCCAGCCATGAAGCGGACACTGTTGAATAGCTGCAAGCCATTGCATCGTCGATTCTTTGCAAAGGCAACCTGTGCACAAATGGTAGCTGCGATCTGTATAAGGTATGCAGGAATGGTATCAGACGCGGCATTCATAGCGGAAATGGTAGGACCAAAGAATGAACATAACTTACCTTTTTTATACGACAAGGTATCGCTTTATTCTCATACTGTGTTCCATCCATTTCCATCATTTCTTGCTCGTCCATGTCTACTCCATTTGGATCAGATGGTGGTTCGGTGTCAGGGTCTACAGTTGTATTGGTTGATGTTTGCATTTCATCGGATGATTGAAGAGTTCCCATAAGTGTATCAAAGAGGAAAGGCATGTGATGTTTGATCATTGATTCTTCACGAATGCATGCTGCATCATGATCAAAAAATGATGGTTCAACGGTTTGGCTGCTTTGAAAACAACCATCTGGATAATTTCCAGTTGGCGGTTTTTCCTTATCCAAGATCTGAATGGCCTGCAAACATGAAACATAAGTGATGGGTTGTACCACATTCACATGTACTACCAACAAAATTCAAAACTCACTTCTCCTTTGATGAATTCGCGCCAGAAATCTTGACCTTTTTGAGTCTTGGTTACTTGCTTCTTGATTGTCTGAATCAAGTCAAGGGTTGAAGGCCACCCAGTGGAAGAGCCCCAATAACGTCGGCGGAAAGCAAGTGTATCATGATCGGCAGTGAGAAACGCCACAACGAACTTCTTTGGTGTCAGATTATAGTTGGACTTGAGGAAATCACAAAATTCCACAATCTTGGTTGGCAGTGTATCTGATGGTGCCGCTTGAGGTGATCGAGGTTGCTTGGGTGGAGACAGGGATTGGAAGTCGTCGATTTCCATTGTGACTGACTGATTGAGGAAGTTGAGGACTTGGGCAAAAGGGACACGTTCTCCAAATTATCAGAAATGCATTTAGGTATGTCTATACATTTGAAGAATCTGGGATAATCAATTTATTACAGAGAAAGTATGTTTTAACCAAACATGTGTTTATGACCAGATCGGTCAGAAGAAATATCCGGCCACATTGAGGACGGATTGCTTACAGAAATTTGCAGCAGAAATAACTTTACAGGATGACTCTTGCCGGGAGAGAGGGATATAAATATTTTTGAGGACAGTAAAAATTAGCTTAGAAGGCTGTGATTTCAATGGTGCCAAAGGCAGGATCAAAATCACAAGGCTACAGGGGCATACTGGTGGATTTGGGGGAAAGGGAGATCTCTCCTGCCATTTGGCACAAGTCTGTAGAGCACAACTTGTCACTTTTGATGCAAGTCCCTCCTTCGGAGGTCGCTGCCGCGACCTCCTCGGAGGGACCTTGTGTTAAGTTCGCGATAACCCGTCATCCCAAAACCACCCGTGGGTCGGCGTACCAAGAAGCTGCAGGACCCGATTCCTGTAGCAGGCAGTCGCTGCGCTGGAACCAGGATACTGGTCCGCTCAATCCTTATAACTGGTTGACGTGAAAATCCACATCGGTATTTGGAAGTGCTTTCCATATACTATGGTGGATAGCAAGCTTTCTAGAGGAGCATGGGTAGATTGTATGGAAGCCTTCTCGAGACAAAAGTGAAGCGTGTAGACATGGCAAGTTTAAGTATATGTATTTTTGTTTATAGATTACAGTGATATCTTTGACTAGGATCAGTTCTGAGGTGAGTGACCTTGAAACGATTCCAAGTTGTAGGGATCTGATTTGGATGAGTGGGGATGGGTAAGAAAGCTTTGGATTCTTCTTGGGGGTCCGGGGGGGGGATTGCTATGAACAGTAATAAGTGTGGAGGGTGTGTATGTAACAAGTTCGTCAGGAATCATAAGAGGGAGAGAGGATCATCCACAGGAGGAGAGAGTTGGACAGAGCCACATGGTTGGATGATAATCCTTGAGGGTTCGAGCGGGTAAATAGAGTGCTATCCTAGTACCCTCTTGAGGACATCTTCACCACGTCCTTACTCTGGAGGTTTCCTTCACCCTTCATCATGGGCCCGAGTCCGGTCGAGATCTCTGCCAACATCTGTGGGTTGTTGTGGTGAGTGGTTGCTTGGACGATGGCTTTGGCGAGTAAAGCTGGGTTGTCGGATTTGAAGATACCCGATCCACTAGAATATATACCAAAAATACATAGCGCAATGTGAGTCTAGTGACTTGATGATCATATGACAAGAGAGGAAGGCTTTACTTACACAAACACACCGTCACAGCCGAGCTGCATCATGAGTGCAGCATCCGCCGGGGTGGCGATTCCACCTGCAGCAAAGTTGACGACCGGTAGACGCTTGGTGCGGGCAACTTCCTTGAGAAGATGATAAGGAGCGGATAGTTCTTTGGCAAAGGTGTATAGCTCTTCGTCTGACATGACTGAAGCTCTACGGATATCAGCAAGTACTGCTCGTTCGTGCCGAACAGCCTAGAAGAAGACAGGTTTTGAGTAACAGTTGAGGAGAGCAAGTCATTGATTTGAATGTCCACTCACTTCGATCACGTTCCCTGTTCCGGCTTCACCTTTGGTCCGGATCATGGCGGCACCTTCTGAGATTCTTCTTAGTGCTTCACCGAGATTCTTTGCGCCACAGACAAATGGAACTTTGAACGCATGCTTGTTGATGTGATGCTCAGGATCGGCTGGAGTGAGCACTTCTGATTCATCGATGTAATCCACTCCGATGGCTTGTAAGATCCGTGCTTCGACAAAGTGTCCGATTCGTGCCTTGGCCATGACCTGGACGAGCAAGATGGAGGAAAACAAATCGATCAAATTTTGGGCTCCAGAATTTCAAAAACAAATAGAATAGAGGCCAAACTGACGGGGATGGTAACGGCGTCGATGATTTCTTTGATCATTGCCGGATCTGACATTCGAGCAACCCCACCATCTCGACGGATATCGGATGGTACTCGTTCTAGGGCCTATATGAAATGTGAGTGAGAAGTTTATGAAGTTGGAGGAGAGGATTGAAGAAAGTTACCATGACGGCACATGCGCCGGCCTCTTCGGCAATCCGGGCTTGCTCAGCATTGACGACATCCATGATCACACCACCCTTGAGCATTTGAGCCAAACCGGTCTGGATAGTAGAATCGGCATGAGTTAGTTAAGATGGGACTGAGAGGGGAAGAGAAAGGGGAAGTAGGAGGCACCTTGACACCAAAGGTACCAGTTCCGAGACTGGTACCGGCGATCGAGTTGGAGGATTGCATGGCGGTGGCCGATCTGGTGGATCCGATCTGGGAGCCGTTGGTGGCGGGGGCAGAGTTAGCTCCGAGGATGAGCGGATTGATGGAGGTGGGTGGTGGGTTGCTTGGGGAGCTGTTTGGGCTGATGGAGGAGGTGCTTGATGAGACTGGGGCGTCGAGCTTCTGGTTGATTTGACTCATGTTGCTTGTTTTTTTGTTTTGGTTTTGTGTTGAAGTGGTTTGTTGTTGTTGTTGTCCGGGGGGAAGTGGTTGAGGGGTTTTTATAGATCGAGCTGGGGTTGTTGGTTGTCCTAGGCCAATTGTTTTGATATCCACCCGATTGGGCCAATTTAAAGGGATGCCCGATAGCGGGGGTATGTATTCAGATATGAGGATGATTTGGGATCGAAACGCGTGAGATGAGTTGATTGTTTGTGATCCGGTTTGATCCTTGGATCGAAGTGTTCTAGTTCGATGTTTCTGATGGTGTACACATTCAGAAGGGCTGCCCGATCGGATCGGATCAAGCTGGCCGTGCACATCGATCGGGACGCGTATATGTAATCATCATCATCAGTATTGAAGGAGGACAACCTTGGCAGATGAGAGGCAGCTCTTAATAATGGGTGCCGGTGTGGCTTCTCCCATGGCCAATCCCAGTAGATATTCAGATGATTCAAGCCATCATGATCTTATCATCATCATGGATGGGTGTGGTTGTACAAGCTAGTGGGAGAGATGGGTTTTGTATGTAGCTCATGGCTTACAGAGTGGGATTGAAGACGCGGCAGATCGAAATTGGTCGCGTGTCGGCTTACTTGAGTCTTGAGTCTTGAGTCTTCAAGTCCAAGGAAAAGCCAACCAACAACAGAACAGAGCAGAAACCAACCCAAAAACCAAAAACAAAACAAACGATGCTCAGAACAAACCATCAACAACAACAGCAACAACAGCAACTATCATCATCATCATCATCTGACTCACAACTATTCAAACAGCTCGAAACTGCAACTCAGATAGTCGATGACAGACTCAACTCAAACCTCAAACTAAACCAACCCATCCAACTAGAATCAACCCTACAAGGTAAGTGAACCCCAAATCAACCACAAATCACAGATCAACTCATCCTACATAATCTGTTTTTGCTTTGCTTCTTCTCCAGGCCATTCCTCATCTGAGTATTCACTACCTCCCAACCTCATCTGGGCACCACTCATCAAACGCCGTACCATCCATCTACCCGATGTCCTCTTCGATCAGTACGACATCCAGCAACACCGATGTCTCATGGGCATCTTCCCCCAGATTCAGAGGGCCTGGTTCACCGTCGACAACAGGCTATTCCTATGGGACTATCGAGATGGTAACGACTTTGCCAGCTTCGAACAACTAGAGGAAATCATCTCAGCCATCGCGATCGCCAAACCAAAACCAGGTCTGATTTCACTATTCAAAAAACACAAAAACAAACACCTTTCCTTACTGACTAAACGAAACCCCTTTCTGGGCTTCATATCAGGTCTTTTCGTTGCCGATATTCAACACCTACTCGTCATCTCAACACCACTCACAGTTACCATCGTCGGCTTGGCACTCAAACCAAATCCTTCAGCTACCTCCAACCTAGAACTATCACTCTATATGACTGGCTTAGAAGTCCCTACCGATGGCATCGTCTTCACCTCCATCTTCTCTCATCAATCAACCGGCCGAATCTTCCTCATCGGTTCAACCGACTCTCAAGCTGGCCAGACCGTCGGCAATGAGCTCTTCGAATTCGAGTATCGTTCTGAGGAAGGCTGGTTCAAGAAGAGATGTTTATTGGTCAACCATTCCAAAGGCGGCGCTGGGGCTGGGGCACTGAGTAGCCTATTGCCCAGTTGGCTCAAATCGGTCACCCAAGGAAATATACTCATGATGAACGTCGATCAAGAACGTAATCTGATCTATCTCCTACTCAAATCTGGTTCCATCACCATCCTCAGCCTAGGAAGAACTGGTCTCGATACTCCAACCGAAGTCGCCAGCGCCTCAAATATCGTCAGAGAGGCTCTCGCCATGTGTCCGGCAGCCGGCCCATTATTAGACCCTCGAACCTTCGAGATCACTGGGATACATATCATCACCAAGCAGGAGGGTGGCCATGTCGGGTTGGTCGCAGTGACCAGCCAAGGCGTTCGAATGTATTTCTCATTGGCAAAGAGGCCTTACGGATACGGCTATTCGGCTAACTCCTCCACTCTCCCTCTCTCGAGCGATCCAGATGCTATCCCTAGTTCGCTCTGGTTATGTCACGTTCGACTACCACCTCGAAACTCAACACCGAGCACCAATCAGTCAAAGGAAAACCAACTCTCAGCTATCACCCTATCCTCGGGCTTCCAACTCATGGGCGATCATCAAAACGGCGGTATGCAAGATGCAGAAGAAGCCGAACTGGAAATACCTTTGATCCCAAATCCATTGAATCTCTCATACTCACATTACACCTCCCCCGGTGGATTTTGGGTGTCTTCTCATAGCGTCGATTCCGAGCACAACGTCCTCCTTGCCGTAGCACCCGATGTCGCCCATCTCTTACAGGCCTCATCAACATCAGCAGCAACAGCCACAACAGCAACGCAAGCAGCAGCAACCACAACTTCAACCGGGTTTCTTCAAACCTCCAATCCGTCGCTTTCGGCTCAACAACAACAACAACAACAACCATTCCAATCTTCGATCTCCGAGATTGCATGTCCGATCAAGATCGAAGGACATGCATGGGCGATCACACACACAACCCAAGACTCTGATCTCGACAATTACCATCCCATCCAACTCGTAGGTCCTCAACAGGAGTGGCTGGTCTTGTCTAATATGGGCATCACCGTCCTGTCTAGTCAAAGGCCGGTTGACACTCTAGCCGAGCTACTCAATAACATGCCCGGAAAGGAACAAGAACTATCTTTGTTTTGGGATCGGTATGTCTCGTCCTCATCTTCTCCATTCCTATTCTCTCACTGAATTCATACATTTTGAACTGGAAGTTTCGGACGAGATCAAACCTGTGCAATGAGCTTAAGCATTGCAGTTGGCGAATCGACCACCTACAATCACTCTTCCGAGTCCAATTCCAAATATCATAGTCTTCTCCAGCCTTCCCTTGGCGCTCCTGGCGGCTACCATCATCGTTGGGGACCGGAGACGATCCAACAAGCTAAGAAACTGCTTGTCGAATCTTCTGGTCGGCCGGAAATCTCCCTCTCCGGTGGGAACTCTCAAGGTTGTTAGTTCTTTTTGCGCTTTTGTTGTCCTTGCTTGAGCCACTGTGCATATCAGACGCTAACGTATTAACATCACATCGGATCATTGTTGAATCATCACTTTGGGGTTTTTTTTTATTGCCTCAAGATTCCAACTCTTTTGGTCTGGGGGATGGTAAGAAGATTTGTTTCAGTGGGAAACATGAAGGGATTGCCCTATATATGGCTTGGCTTGTCCGGCCGATTTGGAAGAAAAAAGTCTTGGTTCTCAGGTGAGTGATCAATCCCTTTTTTTTAATTCGCGTCAAAAGAAATCCAATTTATTTGGTTTAATTTGGTTTGGGGATTATGCTTGACTTGGGAAAAAAGCGGGGTCAATCCGAGTCTGCCTGTCTCTAACTTGTCTGAAGCGCTTTTGACCAAGGTGCAAAAGGACTTAGAAGCGCTTCGCCATTTTATCGACAAGTGAGTAGAATATCTTATCATTGCCATCGCACCCTAAGAAACCTGAAATTGAAGGGCATTCTTTTTCCTCTTCTGCTGATCGATGATAACCCAGTGAAGTGGTTTTGTTAGCATCGATCCCTGATGTGCGGACTGCTGGTCGTACTGATCCTGCCGTCTATAACTTGGAGCAAGCCTCGATCGTTGGTCTGCGTGTCTTGTTGACCCAAGCAGTCGAAGCATTGTCGTTCATTCAATTACTAATAGATTATAAATTGGGTGACCTGTTGACCGCGTGAGTTTGTCTATCTGATTTCTCTCTTTTTTTGGTAAGCTAACTTGTGCTTCGCTCTTCTTTTTTTTTATCCAGCTCACCTCGCGAAGTATCAGAAGCCTTGTTGAATCTCACCTACCGAGAATTCATTACCGGCCAACAAGGTCGTGATTGTGCTCGAGAACTCGTCAAAACTTTGATTAATCAACAGATCAGTCAATCCTTCAGTGTTGATGCGATCAGCGAAACCCTGCAACAGAGATGCGGTACTTTCTGTACATCTGACGATGTACTACTTTATAAAGTTCGCAGTCTCCTTTCAAATGCTTTTAAACTTTGTGGAATAACATCAATTTATTGATCTTATCCTTTTTTACTTTAAGGCGATCGAAGCACTGAGCACCGCAAAAGAGAGTTCCAGTAGTCAAGAAAAACGGAACTGGGCTCGAGAGGCTCTTCGGTGAGTACTTGGATCAAAATATGATTTTACAGATGAAATACCGACTTTGGGGATCTGGACGCCCTCCTGATTTTAAACAACAGTCTGTTTCAGAAGGGATCAAAGCACATGTCATTGGAAGTCCTTCAAGACGCTTGTCATCAGTTCACCGAAGCCGGATTCTTGGATGGTGTTGTCGAACTATCATTAACTTGCGCAAAGGTTTGGGATCCGACTCGACAAGCATTGTCGTATTGGAAGGAAGGCCAACCGAAGGGCGACAGTCGTTCCAAAGTTTATGAAGTACTCGATCAATGTTATCTGACCATCAAGAATGCTTTGGTTAACTTCGATCCTATTGCTTCCACTTCCAGTGGCTTGACTGGTACTCTTTCAACCCCGCGTCACTATTTGTTGGATATGATTAGCAGCTGATGACGTGTTACATATCTAGCTGCCGAGTTATCGTCTGTACTCGATCATGCGGTCCAGTTAGCTCTCACAAGTGATGATGAACTATTTCATTATCGTTATTACGATTGGTTACTAGAGCAGGATAAGACAATGCCACTTCTCGAAGTGCGTCAGCCGGGAATGGCTCTTCTTGATCGATGCTAACATCCATCCAACCTGACTCACGTTTGCTTAGGCTCGCACACCGTTCCTGGAAGCTTTTCTTCAAGCGCCCCCAATCACTCTGTCGAAAGCTGATTTATTGTGGCAATACTATACTCGTAACTCTGCATTCTGTGAGGCGGCCCGAATCTTGGCCAATTTGGCTAGCGATGACGGGTAGGCTTGAGTTGTATTTGATTTGATCTGAATCAGCCACCGACATTTTACATTCTTAACCTTCCTCCACTAGATTGAACCTGCAACTCCCACGACGGATCGAATATCTCTCATTAGCCGTTAGCAATGCAAAGTCTACTCCCAATCTGATCACCAAAAGCGAGAATGGAGAAGTCTTCAGCTTCCTAACGGACATCGAAGAAAAACTCGAGGTCGCTCAAGTCCAAGTGGAAGTGCTCCAAAACGTGCTAGACTTGAGTGATGATCAATTCCAGCTCAACCATCATCATCATCAGGATCAAAACGCAGGTCAAACCAAAGAAGTCATTCTACAGGTCTTACAATCTAGACTGTTGACCATTAGCGAAGTGAGTACTTTTTTTACCTAGTGGTTTTTCGCAACCCCATCGAGGTTGACGGGAGTTTTTGTTTTAAAAGATATATAGAGATATTGTTGAGCCACTAGGATTACTAGAATGCACCCTATTGATCTTTCACGTCTCAGATCACCGGGATTTGAATCTAATTCAAACTGTTTGGTCGGCTATCATCGAGCAAGGTTAGTCGGATAACTCACTTTTTTAGCAAGTATGATTTGTGTCTGATTTTTTTCTTCTTTTTTCTCGTCTTTCCCACCCCAGCTCATGAAGGTAGACCGGGTGGCTTGTCTGGGGTCGAGGGGGTTGCTAACAAAGTTTCCCAATTGGGAAGAAAATTCTATCCATCTGATATTGCTTTCAATACTTGTAAGTAGTACTTACACCACACATTCATTTTTCCTTCTCTCCAAAATCCCTAAAAGAGAGCTGGCTGATTTGACTGGCATCTTTCGATCATGTCTTCTTAATAAACAAACAAAAAAAAGCTATGATTGTTGGGATTTTAGAGAAATATGCATTTGATAACCCTCTACCCGGAGATAAGAAATGGGTTGGTTCCGTCTTAAGGGAAGCTGGCTTGCCATGGCAAACGATTTGGGAATCGATTGATGAACTTTTCACTAGCAAGGTCAGATTATTACTCCCTTCTCACACTAAGAACATGATGTAATTTTATCCAAGATTTGAAAAACTGACTAATTGTTGATTGGCATGTCAACAGTTACCCCCATGGCATATTGACAGTACACTCTCATTCTTGACGTTTGAGATAGCCGAAGTGATCAAAGAATGGATACAGGAGATGGACGAGCTGAACGATTTCTTACTGACCACTTCGCACTCCAACTCCAATCCAAACTCGACCGGGACCGCCAACAACGGCTTCCCAGCGGCCCGATTAGAAGACGTGATCGATCGCTACATCGACACCCTTTCTCACATGCTCATCAATTCTCATCCGTCCTCGCTCCGCACTGGCGCTAATCCTCAAACTCAATCTAATGACGAATTCTCTCAGGCTATCCATAGTTTGAAAACCTCAAAGCTCAAAATTCGGGACTTGTTTTGATCCTGATAGTTTCCTTTTTTTTCAAAAAGAAAAATCTTGGTGTCCCCTGAAAAAAAAATAGTGGTCTTGATTGCCTCTAGACACCTTGATTCTATTTGTCTCTGAACAAAGAATCAATTTCTTGTTTCATTCTTCATCAAGTTACCTACAACTGAATTGATTAATTCGATTATTATTTTATCTGGAGAACTGCTTGTCATTAGTTGTTTTCTAAAATGGAAATAAACATAATATATAAAACTATTTATTACTAACTTGTCAGTTTACCTCAAAAAATCGGGCAGCAATTCCCCCTGAGGGCATCTGGCCAAGTGGGCAGGCCTCAGCCCAATATGTTTATGAGTCCATGAGCCCACCCAAATTGTCTATTGTGCCATGACCTTTATAAGGATTGATGAAATCAGCTGTGCCTGTTCTTTACACACAGATCATTCACAGGTGCATGCTCAAACCTTGGATTTGAAGATTGCTTGCTTTAGCAATTGCAAGCTTGGACTTATGGATGTAAGAGCATCCACATCAGCTCTACTAAACCCTGTGCTATGCTACATATAGCCACAAACACACCACATTGGTTCAGCTATGATCCTGAATCTTGCCAGATGTTCTAGCTTTCACCTCCAACCCTCCCCAACTTTGGGAGTACTTGAAAAAGATGCTAGGAAATCCTGAATATTCAAAGTTCAGTTCCCAGTAACTTGTTGATAGCTGTGGATGCTACCAAATACCCGTACAAAACCCCTTCCACACACACTACCTCATCAACATCCAACACAGAAACAAGATAGCCTCCAGCCTCCAAATCAAATGGCCCACAGACCAAACTGGCTCAGCAAAGAGGATGCACAACTTGAATGGAGTTGGCTCCACACATCAAAGAATCCTATCTACGCAAATGCAATGAAGCTTGATCAGTTCTGGGAGCCTGCAGCCAAAAATTTCAATCAAAACTCACCTGGAGGTCACCAAGAAGGAAAAGATCTTACAACCTCGGTAAGTGCAACTTATTATTTTTATATTTTTCCTTGTGTTATTCATTCATTCATTTTTTTTCTTAGATGGGCCAAGCTCCAAGCAACTGTGACAAAATTTTGTCCAATATACACATCCATTAGCCCGGTTCACATAGCTGCTCATTCACAAATAAAATTTGTGCGACAAGCAACACTTATCAACATCTTGTTGAAAAATTTTGGCGGAGTACCACACACAATTTAAGCAAAACAGTTTAAGTGACAAGCAGCGCAACTTTTCACACATGTCATAAAAACTCCCTATGTGAACCGGGCTATTGAGCACAACTCACCATCTGGAAGCGAAACACTTGATTGGCTTGATCAAGCAATGAAATTCTTCTTGGATCAAGCTCTGAGATGCCCCAAAGGGGCAAATCCTGTTGGATAAGACACCTGCACCAACCCTTCTTCCCAACTCTCAATCATAATCAACTTCACCAGCACCGCCGCAATCCAGTGGAACTGTTCCAAATCTATGAAATACACCAACTAGCAAACAGGCAACCATTTCTCTCAGCACAAATGAAGGGAGACAATCAACTGGGGCCAAAGCAGTAAAGAGGGCTTTGATTCTAGACCTAATAAATAATGAATATGCATTCAAAATGTGGCCAAATTGTGGTTTACATTATGCCAACGGTGGGCCAGTTACACTAACTGTAGTGTCAGTGTAGCAGAATTCTGCTAAGCTTTAGCGTAGCATAGTGGAATTCTGCCACATCTTGCACTAACACTACGCGCATAGGCCCCAAAAAAGGTCCCACTACACTATGGTAACATGCTTGTTAGCGGTTTTTTTGGCCCTGTAGTGCAGCATAGCGTAGCAAAAATCCGCTAAAAAAACTGTTGAAACTCTTGTGATCCCACTGTGAAATCCCAACTTCAATTTCTTTTTCTTCCATTCCGCTTCTTTCCTTCCATTTCCTTCTTTGAAACCAAACCCAATCTATCATCAAAAAAAAAACCTAATCCCATCTTGCTTCCTCTTCTCCTTCACTCAATCAACCGGAAACCATTTACTTTTCACTCAGTCTTGATCCCTCCATTCCAGACTACTTCCATCAATCTCTGCTTCCTCCATCACATCCCCTCAATCCTTGTCTCCCTGGACCCTCATCACCAACTCTGCTCTTGACTTCTCATTGACTCCAACTTCAAAAGCTATCCCTTCTACTCAACTCTCCTCAACTCTTGGATCACTCGACTGAATCCTATTTGGTGAGAAAGAACTTCTACAGTTCACTCATCAAGTCCTCAATCAACTAATGATTCTGTTTTCAGTTCTGTGTTCTTTGTCTTCATCTCACTATTCTTTCTGCTCAGTTGTTTCTCATACATTTGTCTCCTGTTGTGGTAAATACACTCTCATGTCTTTTGATTCTATTTTTTTCTTTTAAATGATTCTGATTTTTTTTTTTTAGTTTGGTTTTGTTTTTGGCAATATAAATTCTCATATTTCTACAAAAACGCTAACACTACATATTTTGGCACAAAAAAGCGCCTCTATGCTACACTTTTTGGGCCAAAGGTGCAGTATAGCGGCTCACCGCTGATTATGCAATAAAAAATTTATAAGCAAATAAAATTTAAATTCCAGATAACTTTTGACTGAGTGGAGCTAGCCTAGTGGTTCCAGTGAGTGACTATGGGTTAAATGACCTATAAAATCTGATTATGCGCCAATATTTCCAAGAAATATATTACCTTCTAGGTATTACACTGTGACTTTATGTAATTTGATACTTCAAACATAATTGGTTCACTACAGCACCGTATTATATGAGGATTTCACAAAATATTATACTTGGGTGCATGATAGATTTACCAACATAAATGTCAGCCGCCGTGATGCCAAGGAGTATTCCTTCTAGCTACATGTGGTGCAAAACCTTGGGTGCATGATAGATTTACCAACATAAATGTCAGCCGCCGTGATGCCAAGGAGTATTCCTTCTAGCTACATGTGGTGCAAAACTTAATTTTATTAGATTTTGAACTATGGTACTAAAGAGTCCGGAGGATAATTCAAATGGCGATTGGTAATAACAAGGTTATGAGATGGTAGAAATGATTAATTATATCAATAAATATTGATACAATTTAAACAGAGGGGCCTGATGAATCAGGGGTTGTTTAATCCCTCAAAGGTATTGTGTAAAAGCAGAGGATTTAGGTACCTGTTAACGCATGCGTTGATAAACACACTCCTCCCCCCTCCCTGCCCGCCCACACCCCCGCCCCTCCAAAAGGGGCGTGCAATCCCACCCATCTGTCTCTGAGGGGCGGGTTTGATTGCATGCCCCCCCCCCCC